CTTTTTACAAAGTAGAAAAGTAAAAAAAACTTTTTCAATGCCACCTTTTATAGGATTTTGGTTAGGTATTTGTTTTTGAGTTTACTACAATTTTCGGGTTTTACTTATGCAGATAACTAACAAAATAACTAACAACTTAGCCAGATAATGAGATATTCAAGTAACACGCAGTTAGGTATATCTATATCTTATTATCTAATAATTGTTATAAGCTATTAGATAATAAAAGTTAGATAACAAGTATTAGATAACAAGTATTAGATAACAAGTATTAGATAACAAGTATTAGATAACAAGTATTAGATAACAATTATTAGATAACAATTATTAGATAACAATTATTAGATAACAAATATTAAATGGCAAATATATTAGATAACAAAAATTAAATACTAAATATTAGCTAACAAGTTTCAGTTAACTAAAATATCTTCCAAATTTCAAAGCTAATAGAACTTTCAAAGGCTTTAGTAGAGTTCGAAATTTGCATTTTAATGTTCAATGACTGAATTCAATCATTTGACTTCAAAATTCAAACCTAATACCTAAGTAGACTTTGTAACTCATTTTTCTCATTACTTTTTATTCTCTTCATTGCCAAAAATACTTTACTACTATCCAATGCCAAAAATACTTTTTCATAAGAGTTCCTGATTCTTTTCCCATTCCGATTCACCGTTTTTCATTTGTTCACTGTTTGTTGGGGATTATATTCATTTTGATTTTGGTGGAAAGAGACAGTACATACTTATTTGTCATAAAAAAGTAGAAAAATACCTTTCCCTAGTCAAATATGATAAAGGAAAAATGTTACAAAGATTATAAGGACTATGTTTTCTAAAATTCTTCGTCAAATGGTAAGTTCGCGTAGCATTTGGCAGTTGACATTTCATTGTAAGTTAGCAATTTGATCAGTACTATAGGATCGAATGTTTCATTTTAAAAATCAGCTTAATTTCATAGTATCCTTGGCCACGGTCACTTCTCAAGGATACTATGAAGTGGCCACGATCCTATAGTACTGATCAAATTGCTAACCTACAAGGAAATGTCAATTGCCAAATGCTATGCGACCTATACCATTCGACACAGAATTTTACGCTGATTTCAAATATATATTCCGTTTTTACTAAATGACAAGCTAGCAAGAGTTATAAGCGTCTAAAGTTTTATTGGGAATGTGCTCTGAAATCTAGTGGTCTTAGCGGTCGCGTTTAGATCTTAGGGGCCTCTTTGTGGCCACGATTCGCTTCAGCCGTAGCCGACTGGTACAGGGTTCGTTTCTAGAGTGGGACCTCACGAGTTCGATCCGGCTTTGGGTCCCGAATCCGGCTTCTTTTGCTTTTTTCAAGAAATGCTGTCAAAGAGGCGGATCTATTCACTCGTTGCCGCTTTGTATCGACAAAAGAGGACAAAATTGTCTCTCTTTGTGTGTGTTTGTGTTAACTATTAATATAGATCGTTAATATAAACTGAAATAATGCAAATATTTATTGAAATTCGAATCGAAAACTTTCCCTTCACACTTTCCGACTGTGAAAAGGCAAAGAGGCCGATCTATTCACTCATTCCCCGCTTTGTATCGACAAAAGAGGACAAAAGAGGACAAAATTGTGTGTGTGTGTGTGTGTGTGGAAAGCCCAAATTGCCATACAGTTTTCAGAAATTGCCATATTTCACTCTAAATACATCGCGAAAACTAGTAAATTTGAAAAACGACAATAAATAATTGAATACTTGATCTATTGATCTTATAAGTCTATTGATATAAATAAGATAGTAATATGTAGACTCAAATTTAGTTAAATGATTGAATTAATTAAATAATTGAATTGGTTAAATGATTAAATTAGTTAAATAATTGAATTAATTAAATGATTAAATTAGTTAAATAATTGAATTAATTAAATGATTGAATATCTTTTGCGTCTAAAAGCTTATCTCAAACTTATCTCAATCAAAAATCAAAGATTTTCTTTGATTCCGATGAGTACTATGTGTTTGTGCTTAAACTTGTCCTTTTCTTTATTTCTTTTCTTTTCTTTTCATTTCTTTTCTTCTTCTTCTTCTTCCTCTTCCTTTCTTCTTCCTTTCTTTTCTTTTCTTTTCTTTTCTTTTCATTTCTTTTCTTTTCTTTATCAAAATCCTTTTCTTTCTTCATTTTTTCATCAGAAAACTCTCATTTCTTTTCTTTTTTTCATTATTTGTTTACTTTAAATCATTTTTTGTTGGCTCTGACAGCTCTGCCGTTGAAAACATTGTAAAAAGCTGGAAAAATTATGTAAAAACCCTTTAAGAGCTCAACATTTGATAGAATTTGTGATCATTTTTGATTTAAATTATTGTTTTTGATCATTTTTGATCAATTTTGATCAATTTTTGATCATTTTTGATCAATTTTTGGTCATTTTTGACCATTTTTGATAATTTTTGATCAATTTTTGATCATTTTTGATCAGTTTTGATCAGTTTTTGGTCATTTTTGATCAGTTTTGATCAGTTTTTGGTCATTTTTGATCAATTTTTGGGCATTTTTGATCATTTTTGACCATTATTGATCAATTTTGAGCATTTTTGATCATTTTTGACCATTATTGATCAATTTTGATCATTTTTAAATCATTTTTGACCATTTTTGATCATTTTTGATCCTCTTTTTGGTTATTGATTTGATTTAATTTAATTTTTGGTCATTATTCTAAAATTTTTTCACTTTTTTACTTTTGCTGAATGTTTTAAATTGGAAATGGCATTGCTTAGAGTTAGTAAATGATGTATTTTGAAGAAAAATAGAAACGTACCCCTTCTGATGCATTCAAATTCTTCACTTTTCTAGTAATATTGAGTTAAAAAGTGAATTAAATCTCTTCTAGTGCAATGAATTCACTTTTTAACTAAATATTTTACTAGAAAAGTGAAGAAATGCAGTGAATTCAATGCACCAGAAGGGGTACGTTACTATTTTTCTTTAAAATACATATTAAAATCAAATTTAAATGACAAAAGTGATTTAAAGCTTAAAGAAAAAAATCGACAAATGTTAAGTTTTTGTTTTAAAGGTTTTAAATACGAATTTAGTTTCGAATTTAGGTTTTCTAGTAAGAATTAGAGTTATTTAAAGTTATTTAAAGTTATTGAAAGCTTTTCGAGAAGCTTTTAGATGGTTGCTAATGTCTTCTATCCTTCACCAGTCTTTCCCAATGCCAATTCCTGTCTGTTCCTTTCTCTCCTTTCTTCCTTTCTTCCTTCCTTTCCTTTCTCTCCTTTCTTCCTTCCTTTCCTTTCTTTCTTTTCGTTCTTTCCTTTCTTTCCTTTCCTCTCTTTCCTCTCTTCCTTCCTTTCCTTCCTTTCCTCTCTTCCTTCCTTCCCTTTCTTTTCCCATTTCTTGTGAATGTCCTTGAATAGACAATTTCGCCCTTTTTCCTTATTTCTTCACCATTTTTGTGCAATCTCTCATTTTTTCGATTCAAAATTCGATTGAAAATCTTTTTCGAACTATTTAACTGTAAAACCTCTTAGAAAAGCTAAAGAAAGGTTAGTTACAAAGAAAATTCTATAACTTATCCATAAACTTACTTATCCATAAACTTACCATAAACTTATCCATAAACTTACTTATCCATCAACTTATCCATCAACTTATCCATCAACTTATCCATAAACTTATCCATAAACTTACTTATCCATCAACTTATCCATCAACTTATCCATCAACTTATCCATCAACTTATCCATCAACTTATCCATCAACTTATCCATAAACTTATCCATCAACTTATCCATAAACTTATCCATAAACTTATCCATAAACTTATCCATAAACTTATCGATAAACTTATCGATAAACTTATCGATAAACTTATCCATAAACTTATCTATAAACTTATCCATCAACTTATCCATAAACTTATCAAAAACTCGATCTATTTTTGTTTTTCAATAGAAATTCAATAAAAATTTGGCTTTTTTACATAAATTTCAAAAGCTATAAAATAAAAAACGTCAAAATCTATGAGCTGAGCATCAATTAACGGATCGATTTCCCGTTTTTGCCTTTTTTTAAAAGTAATTTCGCTTTTTTAACCTTTCGAGAGTAAAAGTTCGCATGTTAAAATTTGAAAAAAATCATTTTTCATTAATTTTTAAGCACTAATCTTAATTTTGACGACTTTTTATACTATTTATAACAGTTTTAGTACTTTAAATAGTACTTTTAGTACTTTAAATAGTAGTTTTGGTACTTTAAATAGTAGCTTTAGTACTTTAAATAATACTTTTAGTACTTTTAGTGCTTTAAATAGTACTTTTGGTACTTTGAATAATACTTTTAGTACTTTAAATAATACTTTTAGTGCTTTAAATAGTACTTTTAGTACTTTAAATAGTACTTTTAGTGCTTTAAATAGTACTTTTAGTACTTTAAATAATACTTTTAGTACTTTAAATAGTAGTTTTGGTACTTTAAATAGTACTTTTTGTACTTTAAATAGTATTTTTAGTACTTTAAATAATACTTTAGTACTTTTAGTACTTTAAATAGTACTTTAGTACTTTAAATAATACTTTTAGTACTTTAAATAGTACTTTAGTACTTTAAATAATACTTTTAGTACTTTAAATAGTACTTTAGTACTTTTAGTACTTTAAATAATACTTTTAGTACTTTTAGTACTCCAAATAGTACTTTAGTACTCCAAATAGTACTTTAAATAATACTTTTAGTACTTTAAATAGTACTTTTAGTACTTTAAATAATACTTTAGTACTTTAAATAGTATTTTTAGTATTACTTTGTAGTAAAAGTTGCTAAAAATTTCTTTTCTTTCTTTTCTTTCTTTTCCCGGGAAGTTTGAATGAAAAAACTTTGGCAAAACTTTGAAATTGCTTATAAATTCCGTTTTCTTAGAGCTTATAACTGTTATAACTTTATAACTGTTTTAACTTTACTGTTATAACTTTATAAACGGTTAATTAAATTATGGAGTGAATTTTCAGAACCGATGGGTAAGGAGGGAGTGGGCGGCCACACGGCGGTGGTGAGAGCGCCCGACGGAGAGATCAAAACGTTCCCATTATCGGTTTGTAGTGGGGCTTTCTTGGTTTGAAATTTGCAAAACACTTTCTTTCTAGTGCACTTGGGGTTCTTTGTTTTCTCGCAGAAGGCGCGAAATTCGCGAACTCAGTGCGCTAGAAGGCGCGAAAAAGCACGGAATTCAGTGCGCTGCCTTTGAGAGGCAAAAAGTACAAAAATTCTATAAGATATCGTAATTTTTACTTATAAATAAATACTTATTAATATAAGATACAGTAATCTTTAAAAACTTTCCAGAAAAAGGATAAAGGAGAGGCACTATTCTGTCAAGTGACACGGGATCTTTCGATCGAGGAAAAAGAGTATTTCTCTCTTTGTTTCTATGATCGAGAAGGCATCAGGGTTTGTTTTTGAAAGGTTTTTGAAAGGTTTTTGAAAGGAAAACGAGGAAAATCGGTTTTAAAGCTTGGAAAACGAAGAAAATCGCTTTTAAAACTTCTAAAACATTAAGAAAACTGTTTTAAAACTTCTAGAACACCAAGAAAACTGTTATAAAACTTCTAAAACATTAAGAAAACTGTTTTAAAACCTATAAAACATTAAAACTGTTATAAAAGTTATCAAATATCAAGAAACACTACGCCAAAGTTGATGTAAACCATTATTAACAAATTCCAATTTCAGCACTGGCTCTACAACGATAAACCGATTCAAAAACAGCTTAAAGGTTGGGAAATTGGGAAAAATTTGATTGATTGATTGATTGGGAAAAAGCATAGTAAAAAGAATTTCCAGATTTACCTTGGGAGTTCTCGTACGAAGTGAAATTCTACCCGACACAGCCAACATCATTGACTGACGACAATGCTCGATACAATCTCTATCAACAGCTCAGAAGAGAAATCGTCACCGGGAGGTTGGATTCGAATCGAGTTTTGCCATCGTTTGCCATCCAGAATTAGACTGGAGAGCTTAGAGTAGAGTAGAAGTTTAGAGAGCTTAGAGTAGAAGAGAGCTTAGATTAGAAGAGAGCTTAGAGTAGAAGAGAGCTTAGATTAGAAGCAGAGAGAGCTTAGAAGGGACAGGACTAATGCAGAGACAGGACTAGTGTAGAGACAGGCCAAACTGGCAATACTGCCAAAAAAGCTTGTCTTCAGACCAAGTTTAACGTTTTCAGACTTCCCGCTTCAATCGAATCGCACGCGATCCTTGGCGGCTTACAAGTTCAAGCAGATGTCGGTGATGTACAGGTGAATTTCATCAATGAACTAGATGAACTCAATTGACTCAATTAACTCAATTGACTCAATAAACTCAATAAACTCAATTGACTCAATGACTCAATGAACTCAATGACTCAATTGACCCAATGACTCAATTGACTCAATGAACTCAATGAACTCAACCAACTCAATCAACTCAATCAACTCAATCAACTCAATCAACTCAATCAACTCAATTAATTTTAGCAATCAGCCGAATATGAGAACTATCTGCAGACCACTCAGTTCTCACCGTATCCAGAGAGTGGACTTGTGGCGAAAATTCGAGACGAACACGTCAAGCACAAGTTCGTCAAAGCTATAATACTTGAATTTTCAGATAATCTAAGCGAATTCTTATTCAATTAATAAATAAAGCATAGTATTTTGCATAGTATTTAATTAAAAAATCAAACTGACAAGTTGTAATGACGTCATTTCAGAGGTCAAACTCAAGACGAGGCGATTCTCGGCTATTTGGACACTTGTCGGCAGCTTTCCATGTACGGAGTGTTCCTCTTTTCGGCAAAGGTTCGGCATTTTCATTTCTTTTCTTTTCAATAACTATTTCAGGATGAAAAGGACAATGCGGTGAACATCGGCATTTGCGCGAGTGGGATCAATATTTATCGAGAACAGGTAGAAGAATCAAGAGCCTAGCTGGCAGGTAGAAGAGCCTAGCTGGCCGGTAGAAGAGCCTAGCTGGCAGGTAGAAGAGCCTAGCTGGCAGGTAGAAGAGCCTAGCTGGTAGGTAGAAGAGCCTAGCTGGCAGGTAGAAGAGCCTAGCTTGCAGGTAGAAGAGCCTAGCTGGCAGGTAGAAGAGTCTAGCTGGCAAATCATTCAATCTAAAGCTTAGAAACTGTACCGGCTAGTGATTTGATTTAAAAATTGATTCAAATCTAGTTCAAACCTAATTCAAACCTAATTCAAAGCCGATTTTACAGGCTCGTCTTCACAAATTCTCTTGGCAACACATCATCAAGATCAGCTTCCGAAAGAGCAACTTTTCGATTGAATTGAAACCGGGACAGGTAGAACTAAATAATTTTTTGGAATAATTTCTTTTGTTGGACTAATTTGCTTAGATTGATTGAATAATAGAGAAAAGATTACGCTTTTGAAATATTCTAGAAAACGTAGCCGCAAACTAGCACAACTTCCCAAGAAATAAGTAAATCGAGTAAATCCCAAGATTTCAGCTCTCAAAGAAGTCGACCACTGTCAGCTACACGACCCCATCTTACTATCACGCAAAGCGATGCTGGAAATGCGGAGTTGAGCACCATACTTTCTTCAGGTTTGTTTACAATTTGATATCGATTTATACTAGTTTATAGATTGATGCAACCCGAGGACAAGCCGAAGCCCGGCCTTTTCCACTTTGGATCCACTCGTTTCCAGTACCATGGTCGTACTCAATTTCAGACGAAAATGGCCAGTCAGGTAGGAAAAGCTGAGGCTTTTACAGTACCTTTAGGCTAATCTACTGTATCCAAATGAGCTACATTACCATTGTAGGCTAACTATTTGAAACTAGAGCTTGAAGTAGGAAAGCTGAGGCTTTTACAGTACCTTCAGGCTAATCGGCAGTTTTTTTGAAACTGGACACGTTATGGGAAACGCTCTAGTCATTACAAGAAATTTTTCTTTACACTCTTTCTTCTTCAGTTATTCGATCGACCCGGCTCGGCCACCGTCCCAAGAAGCCAAGTTCCAGGCACGAGAATCTCACAATCGCTGGATAATGGTTAGTTTACATAGCTAATAGGATTCTAGCCGACGATTTTGTTTCCTCAAAAGGATTTGGCTTGGCTGGATGGATTTGGGTTGGCTGGATGGATTTGGCTAACTAAAAATCTAAATTTACGTCTAAAAATTGATCTAAATTTGATCTGAAAACAAGTTTGTTCTAAAAACAATGTTTAGTCGCTGTACAACAAGCCGGCACGCACTACGATGTCACCGGAACACAGGTGTGGTCTTTTCAAAAACTTTCACTGTAGTACTTTTGCTTCAAATAACTCATTAAAGCATGGAGGTCTATGGATAAAAAGAAGTTGTAAGACATAGAGCTAAAAGTAAATTTTCTATCTGAAATGTATATCTGAAATGTATATCTGAAAGTTTCTTGAATTTTTCGATTTCTTTACAACTTCGTAGCTTAGCCAAAGAGAAATGTGCTCGCCGCCTGACTCCCCTATTAAAAAAAGATAACGTTGAAAGCTCAATGATTTTTCGATTTTAATTTTAACTCATTTAAGTGGCTATATGATGGGAAAATTATCGTTTAGCTTGACTAAAAGCTAAACCGTATCGGATTTGATTGCTACTATCGGATTTGATTTGATTCAATTCGGAGCAGATCTCATCTCAATCTGATCTGCTTCAATTCGGACCTGAGCCTATTGTAGTCTAGTATTTGATTTTGCCCAGATATCAGCCTAACAATTGAGTGTTTTTTTTAAAATTCCAAAGTCATTCACTAGACAATTGAGCTCTTATCGTTATCCCCAGATAACAAGTGGCGGCTGTTTTCGCTCACTGGAGAACAAGCCACCCTTTTTCAGTCCACCGATCGCCAAACCCATGCGGCGCTTGTGCAGCATCACGCCCGTAAACGTGAGGTGAAGGTTAGTGAACTGACATCGGACGACGAGCTCGTCTATCTGCCCGTTGAGTCACCCCTGTCGGCCGCGTATTACACTTACGAGGGCGTTTCACCCCCATCGACGCTTGCTTCGACGCAGCGTGATCGTGGTGTGCGCTTCGAGTCAACTCCGCGAGCTGCATGCCCGGCTGAGTCTCGAAAACGCGTCCGACGTAACTTGTTTGGCGTCTCGTGGTCTCCATCGAAGAAATCCCATGACACTGCTGCCGTTCTTCTCACCGCTCACATGCCTGCTACTCCGGAAGAGGTGACTAATCTCGAGCGTTCTGATGAATTCCCCGAAATTCCCATTGCTACCCGTTCATCTGTTTATAATAAAGGTTTTTATGAGCAATTGTCAAAGATTGAAGTCGATCCGCTGAAAACTTCTGTGCATGAGGCGAATCAAGATGATTTGGAGAAAAGAAATGAGATGCCTGGCTATCCGATTCGATATTTTGTTGATGTGAAACATTCTGGTCAATTTGATAAGCACCGCATTGCTCGCCTAAAACACGCTGGCAGCGAGGACGAGTTAGAGTCGGCAAAGATCGATTACAAGAACTATCTATTTCCAACGATTGAAAAATCGAGTGTGGGCAGATTGGAGAAAAGTGCGGATGTTGAATCATCACATATCATCGAACACGTGCAAATGAAGAGAGCCACGGAAAAACCCAAGGCCAAGAAGAGAAAGTTGGGAAAAAGAGATTCCGTGGAGTCCAGATCAAGCACAGACTCAAACTCAAGCTCTAAGCAACGCTCAAAGTTAGAATCGACCGAGTCTCGCTTCTTGAAATTTTTGCGTAACATCAGTCCGCAGAGAAATCGAGAGACAGCCACTCAGTCCAGTCGATATCATTACATCAGCCCAGATCGGTATGATGGTCCGTTGCAATCCATTCCAAAACATGTGGAACTTGAAGAAACTCCATTCAGAAAGATTGCACACCCGAAGACAAGTTCTCAACGAATCCGTTCCTCAAAAAAGTCCGCTCCTATTGTGACCAAAGTGAAAACGCAAGAATATCATATTTATGGGCGATTTCAGAAAACCGTCGAGGATGAAGAGTTTGTAAAGCTCGAAAAGCTTGAACGTGGACTTGCTCAAACAATGAACATTTCCAAAGTACTCCCCAAAACGGAGTCGCCTGCTGAATCTGATTCCCCAGTCATTCGAGGCAAAACTGTCGTTTACCTCAAAGAGGTGCCGAAGGAGATTCAAGAACAGCCCTCGGAATGTGTGAAACATGAGGAGGAAGAGAATAAGAAGAAACGCGATTGGGGCTTCCACCTACCCTCGTTCAAAATCGGAGGAAGCAGAAGGTCGACCAAAGAAGGCGAAGAGCCCTATCCAATCGTTTCTGAACCTTATGAAGGCCCACTCGACTCTGTGGATCGTGAGAACGATCTCGAGAGACTTCCATTTGAGACACGAGTACCAGGCCAACCGACAACACCGACCAGTCGCTTTTTCCTGTTTGGCCCAGTCCGCCACGGAGGTGAAGAAGGTACGGGGCACGAAGCCAGCACCTACGGACCCCCACCCTATGAGGGCCCCCGAAGGTTCCCGCGAAGCTCGGTGCCCCACCTCTTGGTGAACAGCGGCCCCCCAGGGTCTTGGCTTACCGCTAGGAGGGAAAAGCCAGAGCTGGAAATGAGGCCGAGAACGGCTGTCGTTTATCTCAAAGAGGTGCAAGGTGAAGAAAACGAGGAAACACACGACGAGAAGGAGAATAAGAAGAAACGCGATTGGGGCTTCCACCTACCCTCGTTCAAAATCGGAGGAAGCAGAAGGTCGACCAAAGAAGGCGAAGAGCCCTATCCAATCGTTTCTGAACCTTATGAAGGCCCACTCGACTCTGTGGATCGTGAGAACGATCTCGAGAGACTTCCATTTGAGACCGAGCCAGCAACCGACAACACCGAAGTCGTTGCTGTGCCCAGTGGTGAGGAAGTGGAAATGACGAGAACGGCTGTCGTTTACCTCAAAGAGGTGCCAGGTGAAGAGAACGAGGAAACACACGACGAGAAGGAGAATAAGAAGAAACGCGATTGGGGCTTCCACCTACCCTCGTTCAAAATCGGAGGAAGCAGAAGGTCGACCAAAGAAGGCGAAGAGCCCTATCCAATCGTTTCTGAACCTTATGAAGGCCCACTCGACTCTGTGGATCGTGAGAACGATCTGGAAAAAATCCCACTTGACACCACTCCAGTACCAGAGTCCAAAACAACAACAATCACCACCACTCGTCGCTTTTTCCTGTTTGGCCGAGTCCGCCACGAAGGTGAAGAAGAGGTTATCGAGCAAGAGCACGTGAAGCCAGACACCTACGGACTAGCTACCACATCTTATGAGGGTCCACTCGAAGAGTTGCCACGCGAAGATGACCTCGGTGCCTCACCTCTTGGTGAACATGCGGCTGTCTACCATCAAGGTGATTCTTGGCTTACCGCTAACGAGCAGAAGAAGAAAAAGACCAAGAAAGACAAAGCCGCTTCCCCAACCATGCCGGAAATTGAAGAGTCCAAGCAAACCGCTGTTGTCTATCTCAAAGAGGTGCCAGGTGAAGAGAACGAGGAAACACACGACGAGAAGGAGAATAAGAAGAAACGCGATTGGGGCTTCCACCTACCCTCGTTCAAAATCGGAGGAAGCAGAAGGTCGACCAAAGAAGGCGAAGAGCCCTATCCAATCGTTTCTGAACCTTATGAAGGCCCACTCGACTCTGTGGATCGTGAGAACGATCTGGAAAAAATCCCACTTGACACCACTCCAGTACCAGAGTCCAAAACAACAACAATCACCACCACTCGTCGCTTTTTCTTGTTTGGCCGAGTCCGCCACGAAGGTGAAGAAGAGGTTATCGAGCAAGAGCACGTAAAGCCAGACACCTACGGACTAGCTACCACATCTTATGAGGGTCCACTCGAAGAGTTGCCACGCGAAGATGACCTCGGTGCCTCACCTCTTGGTGAACATGCGGCTGTCTACCATCAAGGTGATTCTTGGCTTACCGCTAACGAGCAGAAGAAGAAAAAGACCAAGAAAGACAAAGCCGCTTCCCCAACCATGCCGGAAATTGAAGAGTCCAAGCAAACCGCTGTTGTCTATCTCAAAGAGGTGCAAGGTGAAGAAAACGAGGAAACACACGACGAGAAGGAGAATAAGAAGAAACGCGATTGGGGCTTCCACCTACCCTCGTTCAAAATCGGAGGAAGCAGAAGGTCGACCAAAGAAGGCGAAGAGCCCTATCCAATCGTTTCTGAACCTTATGAAGGCCCACTCGACTCTGTGGATCGTGAGAACGATCTCGAGAGACTTCCATTTGAGACCGAGCCAGCAACCGACAACACCGAAGTCGTTGCTGTGCCCAGTGGTGAGGAAGTGGAAATGACGAGAACGGCTGTCGTTTACCTCAAAGAGGTGCCAGGTGAAGAGAACGAGGAAACACACGACGAGAAGGAGAATAAGAAGAAACGCGATTGGGGCTTCCACCTACCCTCGTTCAAAATCGGAGGAAGCAGAAGGTCGACCAAAGAAGGCGAAGAGCCCTATCCAATCGTTTCTGAACCTTATGAAGGCCCACTCGACTCTGTGGATCGTGAGAACGATCTGGAAAAAATCCCACTTGACACCACTCCAGTACCAGAGTCCAAAACAACAACAATCACCACCACTCGTCGCTTTTTCCTGTTTGGCCGAGTCCGCCACGAAGGTGAAGAAGAGGTTATCGAGCAAGAGCACGTAAAGCCAGACACCTACGGACTAGCTACCACATCTTATGAGGGTCCACTCGAAGAGTTGCCACGCGAAGATGACCTCGGTGCCTCACCTCTTGGTGAACATGCGGCTGTCTACCATCAAGGTGATTCTTGGCTTACCGCTAACGAGCAGAAGAAGAAAAAGACCAAGAAAGACAAAGCCGCTTCCCCAACCATGCCGGAAATTGAAGAGTCCAAGCAAACCGCTGTTGTCTATCTCAAAGAGGTGCAAGGTGAAGAAAACGAGGAAACACACGACGAGAAGGAGAATAAGAAGAAACGCGATTGGGGCTTCCACCTACCCTCGTTCAAAATCGGAGGAAGCAGAAGGTCGACCAAAGAAGGCGAAGAGCCCTATCCAATCGTTTCTGAACCTTATGAAGGCCCACTCGACTCTGTGGATCGTGAGAACGATCTCGAGAGACTTCCATTTGAGACCGAGCCAGCAACCGACAACACCGAAGTCGTTGCTGTGCCCAGTGGTGAGGAAGTGGAAATGACGAGAACGGCTGTCGTTTACCTCAAAGAGGTGCCAGGTGAAGAGAACGAGGAAACACACGACGAGAAGGAGAATAAGAAGAAACGCGATTGGGGCTTCCACCTACCCTCGTTCAAAATCGGAGGAAGCAGAAGGTCGACCAAAGAAGGCGAAGAGCCCTATCCAATCGTTTCTGAACCTTATGAAGGCCCACTCGACTCTGTGGATCGTGAGAACGATCTGGAAAAAATCCCACTTGACACCACTCCAGTACCAGAGTCCAAAACAACAACAATCACCACCACTCGTCGCTTTTTCTTGTTTGGCCGAGTCCGCCACGAAGGTGAAGAAGAGGTTATCGAGCAAGAGCACGTAAAGCCAGACACCTACGGACTAGCTACCACATCTTATGAGGGTCCACTCGAAGAGTTGCCACGCGAAGATGACCTCGGTGCCTCACCTCTTGGTGAACATGCGGCTGTCTACCATCAAGGTGATTCTTGGCTTACCGCTAACGAGCAGAAGAAGAAAAAGACCAAGAAAGACAAAGCCGCTTCCCCAACCATGCCGGAAATTGAAGAGTCCAAGCAAACCGCTGTTGTCTATCTCAAAGAGGTGCAAGGTGAAGAAAACGAGGAAACACACGACGAGAAGGAGAATAAGAAGAAACGCGATTGGGGCTTCCACCTACCCTCGTTCAAAATCGGAGGAAGCAGAAGGTCGACCAAAGAAGGCGAAGAGCCCTATCCAATCGTTTCTGAACCTTATGAAGGCCCACTCGACTCTGTGGATCGTGAGAACGATCTCGAGAGACTTCCATTTGAGACCGAGCCAGCAACCGACAACACCGAAGTCGTTGCTGTGCCCAGTGGTGAGGAAGTGGAAATGACGAGAACGGCTGTCGTTTACCTCAAAGAGGTGCCAGGTGAAGAGAACGAGGAAACACACGACGAGAAGGAGAATAAGAAGAAACGCGATTGGGGCTTCCACCTACCCTCGTTCAAAATCGGAGGAAGCAGAAGGTCGACCAAAGAAGGCGAAGAGCCCTATCCAATCGTTTCTGAACCTTATGAAGGCCCACTCGACTCTGTGGATCGTGAGAACGATCTGGAGAAAATCCCACTTGACACCACTCCAGACCAGAGTCCAAAACAACAACAATCACCACCACTCGTCGCTTTTCCTGTTTGGCCGAGTCGCCACGAAGGTGAGGAAGAGGTTATCGAGCAAGAGCACGTAAAGCAGACACCTAGGACTAGCTACCACATCTTATGAGGGTCCACTCGAAGAGTTGCCACGCGAAGATGACCTCGGTGCCTCACCTCTTGGTGAACATGCGGCTGTCTACCATCAAGGTGATTCTTGGCTTACCGCTAACGAGCAGAAGAAGAAAAGCCAAGAAAGACAAAGCCGCTTCCCCAACATGCCGGAAATTGACGAGTCCAAGCAACCGCTGTTGTCTATCTCAAAGAGGTGCAAGGTGAAGAAAACGAGGAAACACACGACGAGAAGGAGAATAAGAAGAAACGCGATTGGGGCTTCCACCTACCCTCGTTCAAAATCGGAGGAAGCAGAAGGTCGACCAAAGAAGGCGAAGAGCCCTATCCAATCGTTTCTGAACCTTATGAAGGCCCACTCGACTCTGTGGATCGTGAGAACGATCTCGAGAGACTTCCATTTGAGACCGAGCCAGCAACCGACAACACCGAAGTCGTTGCTGTGCCCAGTGGTGAGGAAGTGGAAATGACGAGAACGGCTGTCGTTTACCTCAAAGAGGTGCCAGGTGAAGAGAACGAGGAAACACACGACGAGAAGGAGAATAAGAAGAAACGCGATTGGGGCTTCCACCTACCCTCGTTCAAAATCGGAGGAAGCAGAAGGTCGACCAAAGAAGGCGAAGAGCCCTATCCAATCGTTTCTGAACCTTATGAAGGCCCACTCGACTCTGTGGATCGTGAGAACGATCTGGAAAAATCCCACTTGACACCACTCCAGTACCAGAGTCCAAAACAACAACAATCACCACCACTCGTCGCTTTTTCTTGTTTGGCCGAGTCCGCCACGAAGGTGAAGAAGAGGTTATCGAGCAAGGCACGTAAAGCCAGACACCTACGGACTAGCTACCACATCTTATGAGGGTCCACTCGAAGAGTTGCCACGCGAGATGACCTCGGTGCCTCACCTCTTGGTGAACATGCGGCTGTCTACCATCAAGGTGATTCTTGGCTTACCGCTAACGAGCAGAAGAAGAAAAAGACCAAGAAAGACAAAGCCGCTTCCCCAACCATGCCGGAAATTGAAGAGTCCAAGCAAACCGCTGTTGTCTATCTCAAAGAGGTGCAAGGTGAAGAAAACGAGGAAACACACGACGAGAAGGAGAATAAGAAGAAACGCGATTGGGGCTTCCACCTACCCTCGTTCAAAATCGGAGGAAGCAGAAGGTCGACCAAAGAAGGCGAAGAGCCCTATCCAATCGTTTCTGAACCTTATGAAGGCCCACTCGACTCTGTGGATCGTGAGAACGATCTCGAGAGACTTCCATTTGAGACCGAGCCAGCAACCGACAACACCGAAGTCGTTGCTGTGCCCAGTGGTGAGGAAGTGGAAATGACGAGAACGGCTGTCGTTTACCTCAAAGAGGTGCCAGGTGAAGAGAACGAGGAAACACACGACGAGAAGGAGAATAAGAAGAAACGCGATTGGGGCTTCCACCTACCCTCGTTCAAAATCGGAGGAAGCAGAAGGTCGACCAAAGAAGGCGAAGAGCCCTATCCAATCGTTTCTGAACCTTATGAAGGCCCACTCGACTCTGTGGATCGTGAGAACGATCTGGAAAAAATCCCACTTGACACCACTCCAGTACCAGAGTCCAAAACAACAACAATCACCACCACTCGTCGCTTTTTCCTGTTTGGCCGAGTCCGCCACGAAGGTGAAGAAGAGGTTATCGAGCAAGAGCACGTGAAGCCAGACACCTACGGACTAGCTACCACATCTTATGAGGGTCCACTCGAAGAGTTGCCACGCGAAGATGACCTCGGTGCCTCACCTCTTGGTGAACATGCGGCTGTCTACCATCAAGGTGATTCTTGGCTTACCGCTAACGAGCAGAAGAAGAAAAAGACCAAGAAAGACAAAGCCGCTTCCCCAACCATGCCGGAAATTGAAGAGTCCAAGCAAACCGCTGTTGTCTATCTCAAAGAGGTGCAAGGTGAAGAAAACGAGGAAACACACGACGAGAAGGAGAATAAGAAGAAACGCGATTGGGGCTTCCACCTACCCTCGTTCAAAATCGGAGGAAGCAGAAGGTCGACCAAAGAAGGCGAAGAGCCCTATCCAATCGTTTCTGAACCTTATGAAGGCCCACTCGACTCTGTGGATCGTGAGAACGATCTCGAGAGACTTCCATTTGAGACCGAGCCAGCAACCGACAACACCGAAGTCGTTGCTGTGCCCAGTGGTGAGGAAGTGGAAATGACGAGAACGGCTGTCGTTTACCTCAAAGAGGTGCCAGGTGAAGAGAACGAGGAAACACACGACGAGAAGGAGAATAAGAAGAAACGCGATTGGGGCTTCCACCTACCCTCGTTCAAAATCGGAGGAAGCAGAAGGTCGACCAAAGAAGGCGAAGAGCCCTATCCAATCGTTTCTGAACCTTATGAAGGCCCACTCGACTCTGTGGATCGTGAGAACGATCTCGAGAGACTTCCATTTGAGACCGAGCCAGCAACCGACAACACCGAAGTCGTTGCTGTGCCCAGTGGTGAGGAAGTGGAAATGACGAGAACCGCTGTCGTTTACCTCAAAGAGGTGCCAGGTGAAGAGAACGAGGAAACACACGACGAGAAGGAGAATAAGAAGAAACGCGATTGGGGCTTCCACCTACCCTCGTTCAAAATCGGAGGAAGCAGAAGGTCGACCAAAGAAGGCGAAGAGCCCTATCCAATCGTTTCTGAACCTTATGAAGGCCCACTCGACTCTGTGGATCGTGAGAACGATCTCGAGAGACTTCCATTTGAGACCGAGCCAGCAACCGACAACACCGAAGTCGTTGCTGTGCCCAGTGGTGAGGAAGTGGAAATCACGAGAACGGCTGTCGTTTACCTCAAAGAGGTGCCAGGTGAAGAGAACGAGGAAACACACGACGAGAAGGAGAATAAGAAGAAACGCGATTGGGGCTTCCACCTACCCTCGTTCAAAATCGGAGGAAGCAGAAGGTCGACCAAAGAAGGCGAAGAGCCCTATCCAATCGTTTCTGAACCTTATGAAGGCCCACTCGACTCTGTGGATCGTGAGAACGATCTCGAGAGACTTCCATTTGAGACCGAGCCAGCAACCGACAACACCGAAGTCGTTGCTGTGCCCAGTGGTGAGGAAGTGGAAATGACGAGAACCGCTGTCGTTTACCTCAAAGAGGTGCCAGGTGAAGAAAACGAGGAAACACACGACGAGAAGGAGAATAAGAAGAAACGCGATTGGGGCTTCCACCTACCCTCGTTCAAAATCGGAGGAAGCAGAAGGTCGACCAAAGAAGGCGAAGAGCCCTATCCAATCGTTTCTGAACCTTATGAAGGCCCACTCGACTCTGTGGATCGTGAGAACGATCTGGAAAAAATCCCACTTGACACCACTCCAGTACCAGAGTCCAAAACAACAACAATCACCACCACTCGTCGCTTTTTCCTGTTTGGCCGAGTCCGCCACGAAGGTGAAGAAGAGGTTATCGAGCAAGAGCACGTAAAGCCAGACACCTACGGACTAGCTACCACATCTTATGAGGGTCCACTCGAAGAGTTGCCACGCGAAGATGACCTCGGTGCCTCACCTCTTGGTGAACATGCGGCTGTCTACCATCAAGGTGATTCTTGGCTTACCGCTAACGAGCAGAAGAAGAAAAAGACCAAGAAAGACAAAGCCGCTTCCCCAACCATGCCGGAAATTGAAGAGTCCAAGCAAACCGCTGTTGTCTATCTCAAAGAGGTGCAAGGTGAAGAAAACGAGGAAACACACGACGAGAAGGAGAATAAGAAGAAACGCGATTGGGGCTTCCACCTACCCTCGTTCAAAATCGGAGGAAGCAGAAGGTCGACCAAAGAAGGCGAAGAGCCCTATCCAATCGTTTCTGAACCTTATGAAGGCCCACTCGACTCTGTGGATCGTGAGAACGATCTCGAGAGACTTCCATTTGAGACCGAGCCAGCAACCGACAACACCGAAGTCGTTGCTGTGCCCAGTGGTGAGGAAGTGGAAATGACGAGAACCGCTGTCGTTTACCTCAAAGAGGTGCCAGGTGAAGAAAACGAGGAAACACACGACGAGAAGGAGAATAAGAAGAAACGCGATTGGGGCTTCCACCTACCCTCGTTCAAAATCGGAGGAAGCAGAAGGTCGACCAAAGAAGGCGAAGAGCCCTATCCAATCGTTTCTGAACCTTATGAAGGCCCACTCGACTCTGTGGATCGTGAGAACGATCTCGAGAGACTTCCATTTGAGACCGAGCCAGCAACCGACAACACCGAAGTCGTTGCTGTGCCCAGTGGTGAGGAAGTGGAAATGACGAGAACCGCTGTCGTTTACCTCAAAGAGGTGCCAGGTGAAGAAAACGAGGAAACACACGACGAGAAGGAGAATAAGAAGAAACGCGATTGGGGCTTCCACCTACCCTCGTTCAAAATCGGAGGAAGCAGAAGGTCGACCAAAGAAGGCGAAGAGCCCTATCCAATCGTTTCTGAACCTTATGAAGGCCCACTCGACTCTGTGGATCGTGAGAACGATCTGGAGAGACTCCCACTTGACACCACTCCAGTACCAGGCCAAAACACGACAACACCACCAGTCGTTCCTGTTTGGCCCAGTCCGCCACGAAGGTGAAGAAGAGGTTATCGAGCAAGGCACGTAAGGCCAGACACCTACGGACTAGCTACCACATCTTATGAGGGTCCACTCGAAGAGTTGCCACGCGAAGCCCGCCCCCCCTTGGTACATGCGGCCCCCCCAAGGGTGTCCGCTACGAGAAGAAAAAAAAAAAGAAGAAGCAAAGCCGCTTCCCAACCATGCCGGAAATTGAAGAGCAAGAAACCGCTGTCGTCTACCTCAAAGAGGTGCAAGGTGAAGAAAACGAGGAAACACACGACGAGAAGGAGAATAAGAAGAAGCGCGATTGGGGCTTCCACCTACCCTCGTTCAAAATGGGTGGAAGCAGAAGGTCGACCAAAGAAGGCGAAGAGCCCTATCCAATCGTTTCTGAACCTTATGAAGGCCCACTCGACTCTGTGGATCGTGAGAACGATCTGGAAAAAATCCCACTTGACACCACTCCAGTACCAGAGTCCAAAACAACAACAATCACCACCACTCGTCGCTTTTTCCTGTTTGGCCGAGTCCGCCACGAAGGTGAAGAAGAGGTTATCGAGCAAGAGCACGTAAAGCCAGACACCTACGGACTAGCTACCACATCTTATGAGGGTCCACTCGAAGAGTTGCCACGCGAAGATGACCTCGGTGCCTCACCTCTTGGTGAACATGCGGCTGTCTACCATCCGGGTGATTCTTGGCTTACCGCTAACGAGCAGAAGAAGAAAAAGACCAAGAAAGACAAAGCCGCTTCCCCAACCATGCCGGAAATTGAAGAGTCCAAGCAAACCGCTGTTGTCTATCTCAAAGAGGTGCAAGGTGAAGAAAACGAGGAAACACACGACGAGAAGGAGAATAAGAAGAAACGCGATTGGGGCTTCCACCTACCCTCGTTCAAAATCGGAGGAAGCAGAAGGTCGACCAAAGAAGGCGAGGCCCTATCCAATCGTTTCTGCCTTTGGGCCCACTCGACTCTGTGGATCGTGGCGTCTCGGGCTTCCATTTGGCCGCCGCACCGACACACCGAGTCGTTGCTGTGCCCAGTGGTGAGGAGTGGAAATGACGGGGCGGCTGTCGTTTACCCGGGTGCCAGGTGAGGCGGGCACGACGAGAAGGAGAATAAGAAGAAACGCGATTGGGGCTTCCACCTACCCTCGTTCAAAATCGGAGGAAGCAGAAGGTCGACCAAAGAAGGCGAGGATCCATTTCCGATTTTTTCTGACAAAGAGGAGGCAACTTCTGAGCGAAAGAACAAGGCTGAAAAACGCACTAGATTTGCCAACTTGAGCTATTTTGAAAGATTCCGCCATGAGGGGCTCGAAGACACAGCAAACCCTTCGACAAGTTACCAAGTGCCTGAATTTGATGCGGCTAACTCCAGTCCGATGGTACATGAAAATCTTCCACATCACCCGTTGTCAGATTCAGTGAATTTGCATGCCAACTATGCAACCTATCCAAGAAAAACTCAACGTTTGCGGATTTTCTCTCGATTTATCCATCCCGGTGAAGTAGAGATGATTGAAAAGGAAAAAATTGACAAGTCACTATATCCAATACAAACAGCCACGGAAGGAGATGTCGATGTAATGCAAAGAAACTCGGAGATGGTTTTCTCGAATCTAAAATCATCGTGTGAAGCCTATCACGAGGGTCAATACCACAAACTGCCCATTGTGCCTCCATTCACCCCAACAAAGTCCTATCAGCCTCAACTATCAGCTGATGCGGCCACTTCTCCAATCCATAACCTTGAACCGCTAGCCGAGCTGGAGTCACGGCTTTTCAATTTGCAAGACGAGATCAATGGGCCTGAGACGGAGATTGTCGAGGTGCGCATTGAGAGACGTTGCGAGATCGAACTGCGTCCCGTGTACACACTGAAGAGCAAAAAGCCGCGTCCAGCGGGGGGCGGGGTTTCGCGTGGAGTGGCGGAGAGAAAAGATATCCACTCCACTTTCACCACAACTCCCCCGCCAACAGAGGAAGAGGACCAACCCTCAACCAGTGCGACCATGCCATCGGGTCGAAACTTTCTTCAACGAATCGGCCTATTCAAGGTGATTTTTTATTCTTGATGTTGTTGCAGCTTTCCGCTTTTGCAGCTTTTGTTGCAGCTTTGGCTTTTTGGTGCTAAACAATCGTACACGTATCCCTTGTTTTGTGGCTTAACCTGAGTTTTGAAAATTGTTTTTGCTTAATCTTGAGCTGGTTTTAAACTTGAGTGGATCAAGATTTTAGACTATGTCTAACTTTTAAGATTTTAAGATAGGGAACCAAATTTAAAGAGAAATTTATAACGTTCCAATAAGGTTCCAATACGGTTCCAATACGGTTCTAATACGGTTCCAATACGGTTCCTTTTACGGTTCCAACAAGGTGCCAATACGGTTCCAACCCGTCTCCAATACGGCTCCAATACGGTTCCTTTTACGGTTCCAATACGGTTCCAACCCGTCTCCAATACGGTTCCAATACGGTTCCAATACGGTTCCTTTAGTTTATAATTTATAACAAATAACGTATTCAAGGCTATTGTTTACTATTAAATGCAAATTGTTTTAAAGTTTTAAAGCCAGCTCAAATTTAGCTAAAGAAATGACTCTAATTGTGGTGTAAAGCCCGTTGTTTTCTGGCTTTCCAGTGGGTTAATTTCTAAAATGAAAACGCTACGGCTCATTTCATTTTCTTTTTTTGTTTTTTCGTTGTGTTGTGTGGTCTTCTCCTTTCGCTGTCGTTGCAAATTCGCTCAACACTCGTTAGTCCCCAGGGCTTGTGTTTCAATTTAATTTTTTTTCACCAATGCTTTCATCCTTGGTTAACCCTTCACCTACACTCAAAAATAACAACAGATAGACGTGCTCGTTATTTGAAAAAAAAACTTAAGCCTTTAAAATACTAATTTTAAAGTTGTGTGGCAAGTGTTTTGTGCAGTTTCGTTAGGAAAAGCTGAATAAAGTTAGATTTTAGTTTAAAAGTCTAATAATAATAATAATAATTCAACTATTCATTTTAAAACCCAGTCAATCGTTAAGATATTCAGCTAAACCCTAACAAATCTGACCAAAGATTTCTTTCACTTATGGTAGATTTCTTTATAAGACAAGTGTCGAATAGAAAACGCTTTAAGCTTAAAGAGATTCAAAGTCATTTTTCTATTTTGCTATTGTTTCAGCAAGTCTAATGTATCAGTTTAAAAGGTGTCAGTTAATGTCAGTTAAAAGGTGTCACCATTTTCATTTCATTTTCAGTTCATTTTTCACTAAAAACTAAACATTTTTCACTGCAAAGGTATCTGTCGCAAAGGTAGAAAGCGCCACAAATCTTTGGCAGTTGGGAAGAAGAGGAAAAAGCAAGGAAAAATCTCGAGTGGGTCTATAGGGAAAGGGTGAAGAGGTGAAGAGTAAAGGAGAGTGGTGAAGAGTAAAGGAGAGTGGTGAAGAGTAAAGGAGAGTGGTGGAAAGGCGGCAAAGGATAGGAGGGCAAGGCAGGATCTCTTTCGAGAAGGGCCATGATTCCCCAGGGTGGGCTAGCACCAGCTAAACACCTGGCTATAGACAGGCAACTTAACTAGGCTATGGACATTAGCAACTAGGACAATTTAACTAGGCTATGGACATTGGCAAGTTTATCATAAGCTAACTAGAGTAGACAGGAGCAAGAGATGGAAACGAGGAGCAAGAGATGAACTTACTGCTACAGCAGTTGGCTACAGCAGTTGGCTACAGCAGTTGTCTACAGCAGTTGGCTAAATCCTCACCGAAGAATTTACTAATCATATCGCTGCGGGGGTAGAAGGGATCCAAGCCTTTGTCTCTCTTTTTAGAAAAGCCAAGCCAGGGATCCCCGTCGGCTCAATTCCCTAGGGTGTATCCCACTTTTTTTTCAAGCAAAAAGAGGAGACGGGGCTCGGTCACGACACGGTTCCGCACTCCGGACATCTTCCCTTTTTGCTCAATGTCCCCGAAATTTCTTTGAATTCGAATGAGACATTCGGAATTTTTTCCCCGAAATTTTTAGACTTTAAATCAAGATTTCTGGAGTTGAAATGGGAGTCCTTTATTGAGAGAACTTTTGCAAGAAAGAAGCAAATCAAGATCTTTCGATTGAGAAGCTGAGTCTGGATCTAAAATAGGAAAAGAAATGGAGTGTTTAAGCTGTAGGCTTTAGGCTTTAAGCTTTAGGCTTTAGGCTTTAGGCTTTAGGCTTTAGGCTTTAAGCTTTAGGCTTTAGGCTTTAAGCTTTAAGCTTTAGGCTTTAGGCTTTAGGCTAGCTTTAAGCTTTAGGCTTTAGGCTTTAGGCTAGCTTTAAGCTTTAGGCTTTAGGCTTTAAGCTTTAAGCTTTAGGCTTTAGGCTTTAGGCTAGCTTTAAGCTTTAGGCTTTAGGCTAGCTTTAAGCTTTAGGCTTTAGGCTAGCTTTAAGCTTTAGGCTTTAGGCTAGCTTTAAGCTTTAGCCTCTAAGCCTTAAGCAGCTTTAGCCTCTAAGCTTTAAGCTTTAGCCTCTAAGCTTTAAGCTTTAGCCTCTAAGCTTTAAGCTTTAGCCTCTAAGCTTTAAGCTTTAGCCTCTAAGCTTTAAGCTTTAGCCTCTAAGCTTTAAGCTTTAGCCTCTAAGCTTTAAGGAAAAGCTTAGGCTTCAAAAGGAAAGCTCTGATGACACTTTTGTATCCAATACTTTCAATACTATTTGCTTATACCTTTGCGACATTTCCCTACCCTAACAAACACCAAAAAATCAAAGGCACTTGTTTTGTGGCTTATGTTGTGAAGGCATTGTTTCAGTTGATACATGGCATGTACTTCTTCAATGTACTTTGCGCTAAACGCACACTTTCTGATTTACTCATTTGTTTCGAGAAAATAAAGAAATCAGCACACGAGAAAAGGTGTGTTTATGAGCACAAAGTACAAGGGAGAAGCTGGCTTTAGTAGTTTTTGAAGGAAAAAAAACCTGTGGTCTCTTAGAGAATAGACAAATTGCAGAATGGGACGTCAAAAGAAAAGAAGAAAAAGTCGAAGAAGGGAAAAGATGGGACGGATACTTCGTCTTCGAGCTCGAGCAGTGAAGACGAGAAGGTGAGTTCGAGAAAAATTGGGGAAAAGGGGCTGATGAGAGGAGGAAGAAAGAAAGAAAGAAAGAAAGAAATAAAGAAAGAAAGAAAGAGAGAATAAGATGGGTAAACAACTCAACAACATTCAACCAAAGAAGATTGATTTCTTCCCTTGGGATTTTTGGTAAAAAGATTCCGGAAAATGACCACTAGGCACTAGGAAGTGTTTAAGACTAAAACTAGAGACTAGAGATTAAAAGTAAAACCAAAAACCCATTTCATTTCTAAAATCTAACTACTCTAAACTACAAAGTGATCAGAAATAACCCCGAAAAAAACCTTTTTCTTCCAAACCAAACCTCGATCTTTATGAACTAAATAAAAAAATGTTTAAAAATCGTTTATTATAAACTCTTAGTAACTTACCCTAAAGTCTCGAGTATACTTTCATCCGAGTATAAGTTCTGTCTTAATGAAGAGGCTAGGGAGGGATCCATAAGACTGAGCACCGGAGAGGAGCAGGGCGGACGCGCCGAGCCACGCCCGGAGCAACAAATAACAGCATAAAATTGCTATAACCCTCAATAAATTTACATCTATTATTGTTCTTAAAAAGCAAAAAAGTGATGCTGCAGCGGGGTTCGAACCCTCGACACACCGCACCGGAGACAGCCGTCAATTTGCATGCGAAAACCAAACAGAACTTATACTCGCGACTTTAGGGTAAATCTAAAAGATTGCTCAAATCTAAAAGATCTAAAAGATCTAAAAGATAAAAGATGATGTTAAGCCGTTTCTGTAATTTCTAGAAGTTGAATGAAGCAGATCAGGCACAGATTTTCGATAAAATAACCTATTTTTGAACTCTAAATAATCGATTTTCGATAAAATAACCTATTTTTGAACTCTAAATAACCAATTTTCAATAAAATAACATATTTTCGACACTGATTAGACTCTGAATAGACTCTGAATTGACTTATCTTTTATGCAAAACCATTTTTGACATCAGAAATTGAAAATCGACTATTTTAACCACTTTAACGATTTTAATCACAATTTTCACAAGAATCTGTAAAAATCTGTGAAATTGGATCTGTAAAACTTGTGATTTTGTAGCTAAAAGACCCTGAACAAGAATAAAACTGAAAGAGCTGAAAACAAGAAAAAAGAATACCAAAAACCCTGCGATTACTTTGTACCTGTAAAAACGTGTTTCTGGCACACTTAGCTCTTCAAGCAAGAAAGCTCTTCGAGCAAGAAAACAAAGGATTCAGTGAACCAGAAATGGTGTGTTTACAATCAGCACAAAGTAAAAGCTGAACAAAAACTGAGCTGACCAAAAGAGCTGAACAAAAGAGCTGAACGATTCGTTTCTCTAGGCTGTTGTCGTCGTTCGTCAAAGCACCACCACGACGACAGCAAATCGATCTCCTGGGGAGATGCCACCGCAGGTAATTTCTTTCAAATATTATCACTTTATTGCACTCCTCTCTGATTCTCTTGGCGAATTTTCAATTCATTTTTAATTTTTTTCAATTTTTCTCAATTTCTCACCATTATAAGATCTTGATCTAAGATCTAAGACCATTCTAAGACCATTCTAAGATCTTGATTTAAGATCTAAGACCATTATAAGACCATTCTAAGATCTAAGACCATTATAAGACCATTCTAAGATCTTGATCTAAGATCTAAGACCATTCTAAGATCTTGATTTAAGATCTAAGACCATTCTCAGATCGTCTTGATTCCTGAATTTGATTAGTAATAAGTTTTCTTAATCTAGAACCTAATCTAATCCAAATCTAATCCAAATCCGAATTGATATCTAAGATTCTTCTTTTGAAATTCCTGCGTACTTTGTGTACAACCTTGTACAGCTTTGTACAGCTTTGTACAGCTTTGTACAGCTTTGTACAACTTTGTACAGCTTTGTACAGCTTTGTACAGCTTTGTACAGCTTTGTACAGCTTTGTACAACTTTGTACAACTTTCTCGCACTAAATCCCTCATTTTCCAATGATTTTGCGTTGTTGCGAGAAAAATGAGGAATCTAATGCGAATTCGTTTCCATTTTAGCCCAAAGTACGCTTGTGAAAAGCGAAAAGAGCAGTGAATCTTGTGAAATCTTTTTCATCCAATTTATCCATCCCTATCCAATGTAGACGTTGCACTACACGCCGGCCGATCACTCGTGCGGTGTGGTGATCAGGCAAGAAACCGATCAAACCACGTATCGCCTTGTCGGCAGCGGATTGACGCCGCGCGTCGATCCGAATAATCCGGTAGGCTGAAAGAGAAAAAAAGAGCTGATCGCTTTTTGTACTCCCCAGTGAAGCTCGTGAAATCATTGCTTTTGCCTGAGATGAATCGGCTTTTGTCTGAGAAATTCCCCATCTCATTGCTTTGTTTCTACCTGAACATCAGCCATGTTAACTCCGTTGAATTTTCCCGTTTGCTGTCGGCAATCTACGAGCAATCTACGAGCAATCAGCAATCAGCAATCAGCAATCAGCTTCTATCTTCCCTGGGTTTATTTGAAAAGCGTTGAATTCGCTTTTATTCGATTGGAAATCAAATTTTCTATTAAATGAAAGTAAATTCAACTTTTTTTACAAACAAAACCGGCTAAGATACGAGCAAAATTCGTAGATTGCCAATGGCAAACGGGCGGAGTTACCCATGACTGCTGGATAAACGTCTATAGGTATTTTTAGACTATAACTTCTCATAAGTCCATCCAATTTAAATGCTTTTGATGTCAATCGATGCGGGAGAAGATTTCCTATCGATTGACATCAAAATCATGCAAATTGAATGAACTTATGAGAAGTTATAGTCAAAAAGACTCCGTACACCTATAGACATTTACAAATGTCGCGAAATCTTCCCAGGCTTTTGTGATCGTTGCTTTGAAGAGGACTTGAAAAAAAGTACTTCTTATCGAAAACAAAAACGCATCCCTTTTGGTAAATCTCTTCATCAAAATAAGATTTTCCTTTCGTCAGAAGCTCTTAGCAAATTAAATCTAAAAGATTGCTCAGAAGTTAAGCGTTTGCGAGTTTTGAAATTAAAAGCATTTCCTCCATTTGCTCGTGTGTAACTACTTTCTATCGCTATGCACAAATAATTGGCACTTGGGTAGTTTAGAGGATTTTGAGTGAAGATGTCAAGAATGGAGAGTCAAGCAATTGCAATGACTCTCTCTTTCTATAGAGATGAAAACGGTATTTTATCAGTAGGAAATGAGAAAAGAAGGGCTTAGGAAAAGGCATAGGCCAAGATTTCTCCTTATGCATGACTCTAGAATGCATTCGGTGCGCCTGGAGGGTTCGGTGCGCCATTTAAAAGTGTTTTTCATCTACCGGCTTTTCTCTAATAGTAGTGCACCCCACCGAGCCGATGACTATTTTACGGTTTCTAAGTTTTCCCAGAAGCTCAACACTCAAATCACCCACTAGATTTCATCGTTAGCTACATTTTCCGACCGCACATCGATAGGTTCTGATAAGCGGTTCTCGAGATTTCGAGGAATTTAGGCAACGCTTAGAGGGCACTACTAAGAGAGAATACGGTATAAAAATCGAAGAAATTAAAAGAAAAGCTATAATGCAATGCTAGAAGTTGCTTCAAAAGAAAAACAAAAACAAAAAGCTTGAATTGAACCATAGGGGTTGAACCATGTTCCTATGGGCGGAAGCCTGGCGCGTTATCCACTAAGCCACCAAGACTCGTTTTCCGAGGTAGGAAAGAGGTTTTTAAACCCTCCATTTTTTCGAAATCTATTCTCTTAAAATCTATCAAAAATAAACAAAAATTTTTGAAAACAGTCACCTTAAACTACCCAAGTGCCAATTTTTTATCAACTTTGGCAAAAAAAAACAAAGCCAACTGTTTCCCGAATAGAATGACTCATGTTTTGCCCTGTTTCATCTCTAGAGTGTGTTCCTCGCGAGTAATGCGTTTTGTAAAACGCACATTTAAAAATACCGACTGGGGCTACCAGTGGTGAATTTATCGCATACACGAAATATATCAATCACAATACAACGACACACACAATACTAGGCTATATCTTAACTTAGCCCACGTCATGACAGACGGCTCCCTAACCCTAAGCTCAATGGGGAACTAAATAGCTTTTTTGGTGGTGAAGGGAAGATGACGATGAAGGAGTGGCTTGTCACTTTAAAGAACTGGGGCCACAACCACCAGACTGCCCTCCAGAAAACCTCTTCAACCCGAAGGGAAAGGAAATCCGAAGGGGGTGACCATGTCGCATGTGGGGTTCGAACCCTCGACCTTCCGATTAAGATAAAAGACACTTAACCAGTCAGCCACACGTGCTTTACTTGGAAAAAATTGCCGTGCTTTTAGCAAAAATTATTGCAAAAAAAATGACGCAAAAATCACGAGCCCCTCGACACTTTTTAAAGATACTCAGCCGTTTAACTGATTTGGTGGAGATGTAAAGATATTCAGTTGTTTTAGCTGTTTTGTTGCCAGATTTCCTTCAAATGTAAAGATATTCAGTTGTTTTAGCTGATTTAGTGGGAAATTCTTTTCCAATATACAAATATTCGGTTGTTTAATCAAACTGGTCCCAGATTCCCTTCAAATATAAAGATATTCAGTTGTTTTAGCTGATTTGGTGCCAGATTCCCTCCAAATATAAAGATACTCGAGCCATTACTCGAGTAATAGCTCGTAATGACTCGCGTAATGACTCGCCAGGAACACACTCTATTCAACCTCAGCATCATCTCAGCTTTTGTCATCCTGAGCTAAATTTCCTCAAAAATTTAACATAAGCTTGTTTTCGGCACATTTGCAAAGCTCTATATTTATAAATTTCTCAAAAACTTTCAAACTTTCAAACTTTCCGTGCTTTTTCAAAGTTTTAAAAATAATTTGCATGCAGCATGGCTAATTTCTATCAAAATAACCTCAATATCTTTGCATGCTGCATGTTAACCAACAAAAACAAAGCTGCAAATATTGAAAAGTATGAAAATATTGTATTTTAAATTATCTACATATCGAATATGTGAATTTAGTTTAGCATTTTTAGCAAAAATTTTAGCATTTTTGAAAAAAACTCGTGTTTTTGAATGATTCCCCAACTTTGATGGTCTATAACTTTGTCCAGAGATAACATTATTGTAACTTTTTTATATCATTTGATAGAGATTCTTTTAGGCTTTCAAATGATACCAAATAGAGTTTGATTGGATAATCGAGTCCAAGAAAATCAGAGCCAACTCTGAGCATGGTCTATCCGACTCTGGATTTTGACCGAGTCGTAACACTTTGAAAGCCTATAACTTTGTCCAGAGATCATATTTTCACTAACTTTTTATATCATTTAATAGAGAATCTTTTAGGCTTTCAAATGATACCAAATAGAGTTTGATTGGATGATCCAGTCCAGGAAAATTGAAGGAAACGCTAAGGAAAACAGCATTCGATCCAACTGTGCAGTATTGCATGGTTTTCACGAGAATCAATGATCCAATCAAACTCTATTTGGTATCATTTGAAAGCCTAGAAGATTCTCTATGCAATGATATAAAAAGTTAACAATAATATGATCTCTGGACAAAGTTATAGGTCTTCAAAGTGTTACGACTCGGTCAAAATCCACGCCCGAGTCAGATAGACCATGCTCAGAGTTGGCTCTGATTTTCTTGGACTCGATTATCCAATCAAACTCTATTTGGTATCATTTGAAAGCCTAAAAGAATCTCTATCGAATGATATCAAAAGTTAACAATAATATGATCTCTGGACAAAGTTATAGACCATCAAATTTGGGGAATCATTCAAAAACAGGAATTTTCCAAATTCCAACAGTTTTATAACAGTTTTGGTTTTATTTTTGATAAATTGATAACCTAAGTAAGTACAATTTAGTACTAAGTACAGTTAGTCGGCGTTTCTATGTACTTTATGTACTATGAAACGTTCTGATCTAGCTGATCTAGCTGCGAGGCAAACTCTAGCGCACTTTCTAGCACTTTTAAAGCAAATGGCACTATAAGAAAAGATAAAACTAAACTAAATGATGTGATGCAGTCACTGCCGTCAACGATGGCTCGAGCGGAACGACTGAATTTACGGTCGCCGCGTCTAGAGCACGCCGAGCGGATTCTCACTATCCGCGGTGCCTCCGATCTGCCGGTCTCCCTCGCGGTACAGTCTCTATTGCTCTCTATTGCTCTCTCACACATGCTCGAGAATCGCTAACTACTTGTTTTTTCATTTTTTGCCAAATTTTTGCGTTTCCTTTACGTCTGGGTGACTCTAGTGTTACTGTAGAATTGTTTAGCATGTTTATTTCCAAACTGACGGGCTCAAGGCTACTGTAGTTTCTACTTGACTATCTAACTTGACTACTTGACTACTATCGAGTAACTGGCTACGGTAGCATCTAATTGGTTACCGTAGTATCTAGTTATTAGCTATTTTAGCATCTAATTGGCTACTGTAGCCTTCAAAGGTGCTAGTGTAGCATCTACTTGACTACTGTAGTATCTAAATGCTGGCTACGGTAGTCTATAACTGGCTACTACAGCTACAAATGACTACAGTAGTCTAATTGAGAACTGTAGTATCTAATTGCTGGCTACAGTAGCTTAGAACTGGCTACAGTAGCTTAGAACTGGCTACAGTAGCTTAGAATTGGCTACAGTAGCATAGAGTTGGCTACAGTAGCTTAGAATTGGCTACAGTAGCTTAGAATTGGCTACAGTAGCATAGAATTGGCTACTGTAGCTTAGAATTGGCTACAGTAGCATAGAATTGGCTACTGTAGCTTAGAATTGGCTACAGTAGCATAGAATTGGCTACTGTAGCTTAGAATTGGCTACAGTAGCATAGAATTGGCTACTGTAGCTTAGAACTGGCTACAGTAGCTTAGAACGGGCTATAGTAGCATAGAATTGGCTACAGTAGCTTAAAACTGGCTACGGCAGCTTAGAACTGGCTATCGTAGTTTAGAACTGGCCACTGTAGCAGCTACAGTAGTCTAATTGAGTACTGTAGTATCAAATTTCTGGCTACGGTAGCTTCCAACCGACTACTGTAGCATCTAATTGGGTGACTAGCTACTATAACAGCTACAATTGACTACTGTAGCATCTACTTAACTACTGTAGTATCTAATCACGGGTTACGGTAGCCTAACTACTGTAGCATTTCATAGAACTGGCTACGGTAGCTACGGTAGCTACGGTAAGTTACAAGTTACGGTAGCCGAGTAAGCGACTTTCGAGCCCAACAAAGTGATTTCTTTGACAAAGAGTCGCCCAGGCAATGTGTGCGCTTTATTTTCTGGCTTTTCATCGCTTACTACCCAATGCCATTGAGCCAAAAAAGCACTCAAGTCTTACTGTAGAAATTCTAGACTCAATTCAGCCAACTTTCAATGCTCAATCTGCTCAATGCTCAATCACCATTGGCACTCAAAAAAAACAAACTGCTAACTCTAACATTTTGCTTTTGCAAAGCTAACCTGCAAAGCTAAGCTTTTTTTTTAACATTTTCTTTGTTTATTTTCGATTTTCATTCAGGTGTTTAAATCAAAAATTCCAAAAACAAATTTGATTTTTATTGGGTTTTTTGGATATTGGATTTTTGTTATTGGATTTTTGGAGTTTTGGAGTTTTATTTCTAAATAATTGTCTTATGTCGAGATAGAGATTGCTTGTGTTGGGCTTATATTGAAAAAATGGAAAAGATTACGATAATCTAATCACTTTTTTTTAGGAGAGCGGACAGCCACACACTACGGTACAGCGATGGCAAGAAACGAACATTCTCCCTGATCAGGTAAATCGATTGGGTTATAGAAAGCGTTATAGAAAGCATTAGAAAGCATTATAGCATTCTAGAAAGCATTATAGCATTCTAGAAAGCATTAGAAAGCCTTCTAGAAAGCATTATAGCATTCTAGAAAGCATTCTAGAAAGCTAACTTGACCTAAATTGAGATAGGATAGTTTGATGTTTTTTAATGTTTGTTTAATGTTGTTTAATGTTGTTTAATGTTTTTTAATGTTTTACAATTAAATTGTTAATAAAATGACATTCAGGTGGTCACTGAAGTCGACGAAGATGGAAACACAGTGACGTGAGTTTAACGGAATGCATTAAAGGTTAAAATGATAGCGAAACGTCCGTCTATCGGTCGAAGCTCTGGGCGAAAGAATGAATTTTTGAGAAAACGGCTGAGATACGCCTTGAAATTTGATGTAGTTGTGCCTTTTAAAAAAAAAAATAAAAAATACCCACTAGAAAAAAGTGACGTTCGGTTTTTGATGTTTTTTCTGGGGGCGGTCGGCACATCCACGGTGGCCGAGTGGTTAGCGCGCTCGCACCAAGTTCGACAGGTCAAGGGTTCGAGTCCGCGTCCGGTCAAATATTTGACTTTTTTTTAACAAAAGCTCAAATCTAATATTCCTAAAGAAATTCATAAATTTAGCCGTACGATTAAAACGTCTCAAGTCAAATCGACCGTCCAGAAGCAAACTTTCCAAAACTTTACGGTACCCGAAGATGAAAATGTGAGTTTTGAGACAAAAAAGATCGGAATTTATAGGAAATTCGATTAAGATCGTTAACGACTACGCGATTGTACGCTAAAAATAGAAAAATTTTGTTTAAATCGAATTCTTTTAGACGATTTCAACAGTGGAACGTGTCCGCGAACAAGTGGTTCCCCGAACATCGCCCGACAAATCGGGAAAGGTTTCTTGCTAAAGAATAAGAATTATAATAGTCATAATAGTCTAAAAAATCTATAGGATTTTTAGGAATCTATAGGAAAAAATCTAGAGAACTATAACCCATTTGAACCCAAATTGAAACTTTTAGCTCGTTGAAACCCACACTCGCACAGTGGCCTACGAGAACGGAGCACAGCCCGCACAAGAGGTAAAAAAATACCCTTGATTTACCAGAAAACCAGAAAAACTTCAGGATCTCGGTGAATTCGTTTCTTCAAAAACAGTGACTTCTGGAAATCGAACCGTTGAGACAATCACCTACAAGACGGAAAAAGATGGAGTGGTTCGTGAGATCGAAATTTGAACTTGTTGACGAAAGAAAAACTTGTTGACGTCAAGAAAAACAGCTTTACATTCCATTCGTAAAGATAGATTGCAATCCATTTCAAAAGCCTTCATTCAACTTGGATTTCCAGGTTGAAACTCATGTTGAGCATCGAGTGACAATCCATTCCGATGACGCCATTGATCATGATGCGGTCGGTTTTTTGAAGCTTCTCTAAATAGTGTCTAAAAGGATACGGTACCCTTTAAATTAGCATTTTTTTTGAGCTTTACCCTTTTAAAGGTTTGAAGACTTGATTATTTTCACCAAAAAACTGTAGGCTTACGGTAGCTCTTGTCTAGACGAAAAGCTTACAGTAGCTCTTGTCTAGACAAAAAGCTTACAGTAGCTTTTGTCCAGACGAAAAGCTTACAGTATCCCTTGTCTAGACGAAAGGCTAATGGTAGCTCTTGTCTAGACGAAAAGCTTACAGTAGACCTTGTCTAGACGAAAAGCTTACAGTAGCTCCAAAGGTCATCAGTCCTTTCCTGATGCTTCAGCTATTTCCCCCAATATTCGTCACTAACATGTCCCGACCTCCTAATCCAAACCAAAAATATTATTCATCCAGCTCTTTAACAAAAAGATTTTTAGGAGCTTTCAAAAGCTATTCTCGAGGCCACTCAGATGAACCCGGACATGACCGTGGAGAAGATCGAGGTCAAACAAGAGGCGACACAATGAAAGAGAGCGTGAATCGGAGAAGGATCCCCATCCACGAGGAGCCCCCATAACCCTCTCAAAGACAAAATCAATCCCATCGCTGCCTCTAACATGTCTCTCTTCTCTCATTCTAGGCTTGTTTAAAGATGAAACTTAGCGCAAAACTAGTGCTGATTCTTGCACTAACTTCATCTCTAAACAATTCTACATCTTCTCATCTGTCCTTTCCTGATGCTTCAGCTATTTTCCCCTATATCCGTCACTAACATGTCCCGACCTCCTAATCTAAAGCAAAAATATTATTCATCGCTCTCTCTACAACGATCGTACGACCCCTGCCGTGTTTTCAAGGTGATCCAGAAATGGGAAACATGCCAATTATTTAGGCAAAGATATCTTAACTCATAAAATCAAATTCGACAAGCTAAATCAAGGTCAACAAGTGCAGACTGGCTTTTTGAGGAAACACATCTTTTGCGTTAAACTTCCTCTTGACAAGTCAATCGTACTCAAATAATCCATAAATGTCATTGATAGGTTTAATCCAGACTCAATTGGCCAAAATTCCATTTGAAATCTTGAAAAACCATTTCCGGATCATCTTCTGTGTGTTGTAGTGCTACCGCATAATTTGCAAACTGCTCGCGTGTGTGGTTTTTCTGTTTTACTTTTTCGGTTTTAAAGAGCGGGATGCTTTTGTGTTGCTAAATCGCAAATTTATTTAATTCTTTTTCGGTTTCAATTTTTTTTAAAATTCCAGTTCTCTTCATGATTATCTCAATCTCAATTTCTCTCATGTATTTGTAAACAAAATTTCCTCTTCATTTCACCTTATCCATTTTTTGGTATATGATTGATTATACGGCTGCTTTTTCATGGAAATTCGTGTTTCTTTTTGCTAGTATAAACTCATTTTATTTTGGACACACCAAAAATGCAAAAGAACAGCACAAATGCCTTAATTAAATTTGAAATTCACATACTAGCAGAACCAGAAAATATTCCATGATTTTATGAAAAATCTGTTATTAATGAAAAGAAACGAACAGAATTACCTAGAGGCCCGTGTCAGCAGCTTTTGTTTGATATTCTTTTAAGCGACCACCATATTTGTCGTTCAAATTGAGCAGATGGTCAATCCCGTCGATGAGTGCTTTTCGTCGTTCTCGATTACGTTGGACCTGACAAAGTGTCAATTAAACAAGTTTAAAGCCCAAATAAGGGCTTAACGGGTACATTTTTACTTTAAGGGCTCCCAAACCATTAGGGGATAAACCTTCACCAACATCTTAAAAAATTTCCATAGCACTTTTTGCACCTTTTCTGGCTTTTTTCCTCAGCTTCATTGCCAAAGCAGTCCAATGTCCTTGAGTTTATCTTCAAATTGATCGTCGGGAAGGTTCATAAAATTGAACAGCTTACGTTGCTCTGGTTTGATCCCCGAAGGAAGTCGAGCGGATCCATTGTGCCAGATAATAAGAATGACCATTTAAAAATTTTTAAATAATCGATATAATCTTTATGCAAATCATTGAATTAATGCACAAATTTGCATTTTACGCAAAAAAAAAGTGGAAGCCATGGTTTGGGGGCCCACTAAAGTAAAAGAGTACCGCTTAACGTAATCAAAAATAACAGCAAAATTGCTTAATAATTAAATTTTGAAAGTCTTTCATAATTTTAGCATTAAATTCTCTAAAATTCACAGCTCTTTATCATTGATTTATCTTTATCAAACTTTTCTATGAATCTGGAAACTGCGCAGCAAAAATAAAAACAAACTACCCACTTGTTCAGGAGTCGTTTGTTCGTTGCTCATCGAAATCGCATCAAGCGCCATTAGATGTCGAAGACCAGCCTCGTTGAAAAGTTTGACTCGTTTATCCATCTTCCGAATCATTTCCTCTCTTTGTGATCCTAAAACATTGCTTTGGAAAAAGTTTATTAGAACAAATAACTACCTTCCAAGAAATCCTTCTCGAGTTCAGTGAGATCTTGGCCTATTTTGAGAAACGTGTCCTGCAAATCGATGAGATTTTTCTTCTCGTACTCGTTAAGTTGCTTCAAGATAGGATCCGCCTAAAAGCATAAATTTATTTCACAATGCACATTCTTTTTACATAGCGTTAAAAAGGATGTGCATTCGTGTTTGCAATAATTTATTGCACGATAAATTTTTGTAACAAGTTACCTGCATTGGTCGTCCCATAACCATGATCTTCTCGTTTTCTTTAAATTTGAAAGCACTCAATGGAGTAGAGTCATCCCCGGTTAGCGTTCGACTAGCTAAAAGAAAAAAACATAAATATTTTCCCAAAAAGCTTTACCTTTGATAATTTTTAAACTCGACGGATCCAAATTGATGGATTGTGCTATTTCTTGGGTGATTTTCTTCAATTCGCCAAGCGTCTTCAAGGAATCGCTGCTTTCCTCCGTTTCATTACCTAAAATATCCAAGAATTCTTTAACATTCACTCTAACAATCACTTTTTAACTTTTATATTTCCTGCCGCTGAATTTTAATTCATACATCACTTTACAAACTTTATCGAATCATTTTTTAAAATAAGAAAATGCATTTTATTAACAAGAACTTTCAAAAACGGTTTACCTGCAGAAATATCGACCTCTTGTACCTTCGAAGCGCACCGGATCGTGATTTTCATGATCTGTAAAATAACAAAATTAAGAAATTGCACGGTACACAGAAGAGTGAAAGAGGAAAATTGTCTAAAGAAACTTTACAAAACTTCTAGAATACCAAGAGAAAATGTCATGCCATCCTATTTCTTTCACACCGATAGGAGCTTTTTCTGCGTAGTTTGTACACGTTGGTTTTTACACCCGTAAGGGAAATTTCGCTAGTTTCACCCTTTGTTTTTGTTGTTTTTCCGGGAATAAACTAATTTGCAGTGCACAAGCTGGTTTTTTTTTCACTAGTTTTGCTATAAGGATTAGAGACCTGTTTTTCGGTTTTGTCCTGGTTTTTTTTAAGCTAAAAATTCATAACTTCGTCATCTTTCAAGTTTTTATTCATAGGCTAGAAAAGTTTTTATTTATAGAAAACACCTTGAGAATAAAACAATTAAAAACTGGGATTGATTTGAGCATTTGGAAGTACCTAAAGTATCCCGAAGGCGCAAAAAAAAGCAAAAAAACCGAACCGAACCGAAAAACCGATTTTCGGTTTGCTTTTTTTGGGTTTTTGAGCAACTTGCTTCACTCGACTTGAAAAAAACGTCAATGAGTTGTGTAAAATTCAATTTTCTATCGAATGATACCATTTTATAATAAAATAATGTACTAAAATAATCTAAAAATAAAAACTTTTCTAGCGATTTTCGTTGAAAAATGACGAAGTTATGAATTTTTTAATGTAAAAAAGCCAGGACAAAACCGAAAAACAGGTTTAATAAGAATAATTTCGAAACAAAAGCGAGTTTCTCGATAAAGTCGATGAGTTAAGCGCGCGAACCGAAAGATAAGAAAATAAAATTTCTGACGAACGAAGCACCGAAAGACGTTAAAGGGGATAGGCCAATTTCCGCCATTTTATTTGCGCAACAGGGTCATTTGCGCAACTAGGTCTTTTGCGAAACTCGCCATAACTTTCTTCTATGCAAGCCCATCTTTTGTTTTCGTGTTTTCGTGATTTTCATGATTTTCGTGTGATTTTGTTACACTTATTGAGGTATACAAAATGAAACCAAAATCATAAAGATTGGCTTACTTCGAAGAAAGTTATGGCGAGTTGCGGGAGTGGGACAAATGCGACCTTTTTTTGCGCACCCGGACATTTGCGCACCTTTTTTTCCGCACCTTGCCCATTAGCGCACCTTTTTTCGCGTTTTAAAAAAGCTCTAAAAAGCTAATATTAACCAATTTCTATTCCAAATGTTGTTTTTCTAGGTAATTTGAGGGTGTCGAATTCAAATTTTGACATAACAGAGCGTGTGGAACCAATTTGAAAGACAAAACTGCTAGACCAAACTGAGTAAACTGAGCAACAGAAAATTGTCGATTTTTCTCTTTGTATAACTCCGTCCGTTTGTTTCCACAAGCTCTGATATACCAAAATTTCGATTCTACGCCCTAAAATTACCTAGAAAAACAACTTTTGGAATAGAAATTGGTTAATATTAGCTTTTAGGGCATTTTTAAAACGCGAAAAAAGGTGCGCTAATGGGCAAGGTGCGGAAAAAAGGTGCACAAATGTCCGGGTGCACAAATGTCCGGGTGCGCAAAAAAGGTCGCATTTGTCCCACTCTCCGAGTTTCGCAAATAAAATGGCGGAAAGTAGCCTATCCCCGTTAAATTTCAAAATTCACCAAAACAGAAGAGATTCAGCTACTCAACTGAGTAACATTAAAACTTTAATTATTATATTTGTTTGCCTATTTTCTATGGATTTTCGTGTTTTCTTCCTTTCTTTTCTGTTAACCGTTAAACTTTAGATGTTCTCAACGGAAGCAAATCAAAGATGACCGCACCAAACACACCGAATATCACCCATGAATTGATGTGCGGAGCAACGGCCGGTGTAGCCGTCGATCTTGGCCTTTACCCACTCGACACTCTGAAGACTCGTCTTCAAAGTAAGCAGGGATTCCGCGCGGCTGGTGGATTCAGGAATCTTTACAGGTATCTTTTAATTATATTAACTATATCGTTAGCAATAATTTAACGAAATAAATGTAATGTTGCTTAAATCTTTAAAACTATGTCAAAAATGCAGTTCTATCTTCAGCACATTGTGCTTTTACAATTGGAAACTTCAAGTTCCTTTGGGAAAGTTCCTTTACACATAGTTTTAAAAGTAACTTTGTCAAGAGTAAACTACACTTTATTTTAGAGGCATGAGTTCGGTGGCTATTGGATCAGCCCCCGGTTCGGCGATCTTCTTTGTATCATATCGACAGGCACAAAAAATGGGAAATAACAGTAAGGATTTGTTATGCTTTGGTTAATTAAAGTTTTTAGGCATTTTAAGCGATATTTTGGCTGCTTGTTTTGGTGAAATGTGCGCATGTCTCGTCCGAGTGCCAACCGAACTACTCAAGCAGAGAATACAGGCATCAAACGGAAAGGTTGACTATCGTAAATCAATATTGTCTATTTGAAAATTTAGTTGAAACTTAGCTCAGCAATCAGAGAAATTCGACAAACAAATGGTTTCTTTGGATTTTATCGCGGATTCACAAGCACGATTGTAAGAGAGATTCCCTTCGCCTTCATCGAATACCCACTATGGGAAGCAATGAAAAGAAGTTTTCATCAAAAAATGGTTTGGTTTCTGGTGTCTTATAATGACTTAACAGAGTGTTTAGGATCGTCACGCTTCACCCATTGAAGGAGCTGCTTTCGGAAGTTTAGCAGGATTAACAGCAGCCGCACTTACGACACCGCTTGATGTTGCAAAGACTCGGATAATGTTGAATAGAGCTACATACACACCACGAATTTTGGAGACTCTATTTGAGGTTGAAGAAAAATCTATTTTAAATAATTTATGATGTGTTTAGATTCATCGAGAAGGAGGAGTTCGTGCGCTATTTTCAGGAATTGTGCCCAGGATGTGTTGGATGTCGATTGGTGGATTTGTATTCTTTGGAGCTTACGAAACAGCAAAATATACACTCTCTTTGCCAATTGAGTTTTGAAATTTTTTACTATTTTAGTTTCGAGTTACTAGCTTTTTTTTTACTTTGTTATGCGATTTGCAAATTTATTGTGCCATTTTCAAATGCCATTTCATGTTAGAAAAGGTTTAGAAGTTCGAATTTTCTGATTGTTTTTCGGGTCTTTTTATCTCAAAACATTTTAATAAGAAAAATAAAAAAAATGACAAATAAAATAATCATCGCTTACTTCTTTGGGTAACATTCAAGTCTACTGCCAAAAGGACTTTCAGATCATCGTTTTCCGCACATTCTTGTGGAGTAGAATCATCTTCATTTCTGATCGTCGAATTGGCTCCGTGCGCCAGAAGATGTTGGGCAATTTCATATTGTGTGCAATAGGCAGCTAGAAATGACGCTTTAAAAGTTTCTGTCAAAGTGTAAATGAACCATAGTGCAGTGGCGTATTTCCATCGGGATCCTGAATATCAACATCGGCCCCACAATCGATCAACCATTTCGCAACGTTTTTAGAACCTTTGTCGATCGCCCAGTGAAGTGCTGTCAACTAAACTAGGCAACGTTTATTGGTACCAAGCTAGTTAACGAACCTCTGTCACCTTATCTGCCATGTTTAATAGATTTGAATCGTTTGCCAGAAGCCTTTCAGCCACTTCCAAATCGTCGTTTTGACAGGACAAAAACCAAAGAGCTTCCGTTGTTTCGACTTTTGTTTCTTCTGGCTAAAATTTCTTTCTCTACAATTATCTGAAAAAATCCACCTCTTCAACTGCTGGACGGCTCGGTAATTTACCAAAAGTTTGACGATTGACGCTCACATTTGGATTCCAGCCCAATCCAAGTGAGTCAATCTAGAAAACTGTACAAACCATAAAAAAAAATCTTTACCCACCTCTAGAATATATTCACCCATGGCATCTCTTGGTGACAGGCCCTTCAAATCACTCCATGCCTGAAACTTTTTCTTCCCACGAACGTCGTAGAAACTTGGCTTGTCTTCGCTTGCTACAAAGAAAAAAGTGTATGTGAAAACTTTTTTGCATTACTTGGAGGTCCCATAGTTGCTAGTTTGTACAATCCATATAGCCGCAGCAGAACTTGCTCGTTCACTCGATCAGTAATACTCTAAAAAAGATACATAAAAGTAGCTTTCAAAAATTTCAAATTACCGGTAAAAATGACGCTGCTGAATTGAAATAGGAGTTTATTTCTTTTTCATCGAGTGTTGTGACATCAATATTGCTACTAAAAGAAACGTTAAATGTAAAAAAGTTAACAATTAATCACTTTAAGGCACTTGAACTCGTAGGCTTTCCAGAGTTCCACCATCTATGAACCAAAGCCACAAACATCTTGCCCTAAAACTCTTCCTGATTAAAAAAAACTCAATGACCATTGATCAAATATTATCCAGGTAAAGGTATTCAAAACTTTGTTCTCAAAAAATATCACATTTATTCGACAAACATAGGTAAGCAAAGTAAAAACACCCGCAAATTTATAGACGAAAATCAACTACAACCTATGCATTCTTTTGCGCTGTCCATTTCTCCGGTGTAAATGTTTTTATCGAAACCGCGTGAATTTGTGGCATCTCTTCTTTGATCGAGTCTTGAACTAATCTAAACACAAAATTTTATACCTTCTTTTACTATTCAGATCTCTGAAAACAATCCCAAAAAGTTTACCGATGACTCGCCAACGTAGTTTTTCCTTTGAATACTTCTGACACGATGACAAGTTGAAATTTAGCACCACATCCATCCGATTCATCAGTGACTTCCTAAAAAAATCATACTTTAAAAGGAAAATTAAAAATCACCAACCAAGTGCTCGGGGTTGAGCGTTTGAAGCTTTGCGCGCAAATCGTCCTCACTGATTGGCATCTAAAGTTTTTGTTTAGAAAGAACTTGTTCTTGGAGAAATGAGCGAAAAAGGCAAGGCGATGAGAAAATCACAAAAAAAATTTAAATACTTGGAATTTGTGGTAAAATATTCAGTCTGATAACTGCAAAGTTATTAACTTATTGACTATTAAACTTTTTTTATTTCGTGTTGCTGGCGGGAGTGGGACAAATGCGACCTTTTTTTGCGCACCCGAACATTTGCGCACCTTTTTTCCGCACCTTGCCCATTAGCGCACCTTTTTTCGCGTTTTAAAAATGCCCTAAAAGCTAATATTAACCAATTTCTATTCCAAAAGTTGTTTTTCTAGGTAATTTTAGGGCGTAGAATCGAAATTTTGACATATCAGAGCGTGTGGAAACAAACGGACGGAGTTATACAAAGAGAAAAATCGACAATTTTCTGTAATTTGATCTAGCCTTTTTTTTCTTTCAAATTGGTTCCACACGCTCCGTTATCTCAAAATTTGAATTCGGCACCCTCAAATTACCTAGAAAAACAACATTTGGAATAGAAATTGGTTAATATTAGCTTTTAGAGCTTTTTTAAAACGCGAAAAAAGGTGCGCTAATGGGCTAAGTGCGGAAAAAAAGGTGCGCAAATGTCCGGGTGCGCAAAAAAAAGGTCGCATTTGTCCCACTCCCTGCTTTTGTTCTTTTTTGTTAACGTCCAAATTCCGTGGAAAAACCTTTGTAGTTTTATTTCGCACAACGTTTTTTTGTTTAGATGAAGCTCTTTCTGACGTTTGCGTTGCTTCTTGCCTCGGCGAACGCTTACTTCATCTTTGTTGACGCCAATGAAGAGCAATGTTTCTTTGAGCGAGCTACTTCAGGTTTGAAGTCTTCGCAAATATTTACATAATATATTTAGGTGCAAAGTTGAGCCTAACTTTTGAGGTAGCAGATGGTGGGTTTCTGGACATCGATGTTAAGGTAGAAGTTTGTCGTTAAGTTCTAATTTTGATTTGTTTTAGATTGTTGGTCCTGACAATAGACAAATTTACAAAGGAGACCGTGAATCGAGCGGGAAATACAACTTTGCTGCGCATATGGATGGAGCCTACACATTTTGCTTCGGAAATTTGGTTTGTTTTTGAATTGGCTTTACGTTTTTTACGCTTTACTTGCTTTTTAGATGTCCACCATGACACCAAAGACACTTCTTTTCAGCATCGAAACGTCTGAACCTCGTATTCAGGTTACAGAAAAACCAGAAAATCGTTAGTTTGTTTTAAAGCATTCGAAGCAATGGGTTTTTCTAGCCGAGAATCACAAACTCGAAGAGATGGTTCAGCAGCTTTCGGGAACTCTTACTTCAGTCAAACATGAACAAGAATATATGGAAATTCGTGAACGAGTGCATCGCAAAAGTAGTTTTCCTTTAATACTAAGTGCATGAATGTCTTTTAGTAAATGAAAACACCAATTCGCGAGTCGTCTATTGGGCAGTGTTTGAAACTGCTGTTTTAGTGTCGATGACGCTTGGTCAGGTAATATTTAACTTTGAATAAAATATGTAAGTGGTGTTTTTTAGATTTGGTACTTGAAACGATTCTTCGAAGTGCGTTCGTTTGTCTGAGTTTTTGGTTCAAAAGAATTGCATGGATTGATTGCCGAATTGCAAATAACGAAATAATAAATTGCATTTTATGATCACCGTAGGTATTTTGTTTGTATTTCTTTTGCAGTTCAATATTTTTTTCACAAATGTTGATTTTTTTTGCTTTTTTAAGCTTTCTTGTAGTGTTTTGCATAAAATATTCTTCTGTATTTTTTAGGCTATTTTTTATGGAAATAATAAATGTATATGTAACGTTGCGGTTTAGCTAAATGTTTAAATCTGAAGATCTATCGAGTTGAAAAGGAAACTTTGGAAAAAAATAAGAAATTTAAAAAGCAAGCGTTGAAGATGCAATCTTATTTTGAGGTGCGTTCAAACAAAAACCATTTTGTACTTTGTTGCTCGGGCAGCGCTACGGTGTTTGTCTCCCCAACCAAAAAAACTCTGGTTTAAAACTCAAAGTCGATCATATGAACACACTGCATGAATAATTTTTGTTCCATTTGTATCATCACACTGATGAAAAGCAAATACGTTTGTTTTTGGTTTAGGTCTATCTGTATGATGTAGCGACTTATGACTTTTGTCAAAAGCCTATTGTTGTTTGAAATGGTTTAGAATTAAAAAGAAAATGTTTATGATATCAAAATAGAAAAGTTTTATAGTAAAACAAAATCTTCCAAAAGGTTTTCTCTTTGGCATTCTTGTCTGGAGGTTTAGTATTTTTAAACTCCACTCAAGTTTTTTTTATTTTTCTGCTACCGTTCCTTTAACTAGCTTATTGTTAGTTTGTCGAGACTGATGAAAAGCTAGCAACCTCTTGATATTTCTTCGAGATGGCGGCATCTCAGTCCGATCTCAGAGAGTGTACATGCAGCGTGGAAAAGAGGGGAGACGAGGGCGCGAGGGGTTCTGGTGTTATTTCGGGTCTTCTCCTTGCCTCGGCCCGTCTATTGATTGGACCGCTCTTTCTTTCCCCTTTCACCCCTTTCGTCTCTGCTTATCTAAGTAGAAGATTTATTTTTTTTTGCGAACAACCACTAATTGTTTCTACTGTTTCTTGTTTCTAAAAAAATATCTACTTTAATTGGAAATTTTTTTCGACTTCCGTATGTTTGTGATTCGACAAGGTGATGGCAGCAGAAGTCGTTCCTAAACGTAAAAAGTCGATAAATATAAAAGGTAAATTTTCTCCTGGTTTTATTTTATTTTTGATTGTTTTAGATGCACGAATCGCTGGCCTCTACGACCTTGAGCAAACGATTGGGCAAGGACATTTTGCAATTGTTAAAAGAGCGAAGCACGTGTTCACTCAAGAAAAGGTTTGTTTTAAATACTTAGTTTTGAGTTTTTATGCATTTTATTTTTAAGTGGGTAGTTGGATTGCCACTGAGTTATTAACAACTAATTTAGGTCGCCGTTAAAATCATTGACAAGGACAACCTTGATCCAACTTCACGAGAACACATGATGCAAGAAGTAAGTAAAATTTGCATCTATGATTAACTTTATCATTTTAGGTTCGATGTATGAAACTGGTACAGCACCCAAATATTGTTCGGTTATATGAAGTGATCGACACACAAACAAAACTTTTTTTGATTCTTGAGCTTGGCGACCATGATATGCACGACTTTATCCTGAAATACGAAAAAGTAACGTTTCAAATAAATATAAACTAATAAATGGAATTTTTTTAGGGCTGTCCTGAGTTATTGGCACAACAATATTTTAGTCAAATCATAAAGGCTATCAGTTATTGCCATAAGCTGCATGTCGTCCATCGAGATTTAAAGGTTTGTATAAGGTGAAAATAAATCTTGAATATACAGTATAGCCGGAGAATGTCGTGTTCTTTGAACAACTTGGAATGGTCAAATTAACGGATTTCGGCTTTTCGAACAACTATGAACCGGGAACACAATTAAAAACGTCGTGCGGAAGCCTCGCATACTCAGCCCCTGAAATCTTGCTTGGTGATGCTTACGATGCACCGGCAGTAGGTTTGTATTTTGAAGCATCATAATTTTTCTTAGCACAAAATGTTAATATCGACTATTTTAGACGTTTGGTCTCTTGGAGTAATACTTTACATGTTGGTGGTGGGGCGATTACCATTTCAAGAAGCCAACGACTCAGAAACACTCACAAAAATTCTTGACTGTCGTTTTTCTTTGCCGGATTCGCTCTCTGCTTCATGTAAAAGGTATCGTAACTTTTTTTAAAATCGAAACTTTATTTAGTCTCATCAATCGCATGTTGATACGTGATTCTAGTAAAAGAGCGGGTTTATCAGAAATCTCAATGCATCCATGGGTTGCTCAAGGAGACCGTGGACACGCTGAAGTAAAATATACGCCTTTTTAGTAAAAAAAATGTTTTTCTAGGCCATACCTCTGATCGAACGTCACCATCTTCCAGAGGATGCGCATCTAACGATTATTGAGCAAATGGTTGCTGGAAATATCGGAACCACTGAAGCCATTCTAAAGTATCGTTTCTTTCTTAAGTTTTATTCTTTTTTTTGTTTAGTGCGATCGAGAATGACGATTACAACTACATGTCAGCTACATACTTCTTACTGGCAGAGAGAGTGCTTGCATCTTGTCGTTTTGAGAAGGCGAAAGAACTCGTCGAAGTTGAGAACTTGCCACCAGAAGATGAGACTTTTGACAGGTATAGTAGTAGTTGGCTAACATCTTATATACTTTTTTAGTACAACTGGCTTAATTCAGCAGCAACAGTCATCCTCTTCAACGCAACGTTGTCGTAGTCGTAGTAATTCCTGGAGGGTATGCTCATAATATGCTTTTACATTTGAAATAACTTTAGGCAACTCGACGACCATGCTCAATATTGAAGGAGGAAAGTGAAGAGGAGTTGAGCACATATTACCGAAGTAGCAGTAGACATAGTAGCAGGTATGACTGGTTTTTGTCTTTCTTGCATGTTTGATGCCTTTGCCTGTACGTAATGGTGACTTTATTGGGCCATTTTTCTTGAGGGTTGCTTTTCAGCAAAAGATTTTGATCTCATAGTCAGCATGTTTTTGTCTCTTTTGAAATGTTTTTCTTTGTTGATTCTCATTGAACTTAACATAAATTTTATCGTAATCTTCGGTATCAACCCTCAAAGCAACCGTAGGCTAGAATAAAGTCAATCTGTCGTATTATGGTAAACTATCCCGAGAAAATAGTAGTCTTGTCTAGGTTCTTTGGAAACATCACGGTTGGTTCGCAAGGCTCATCAAAGTCATCACGGGTAGTCTCACCGGCTATATCAACGTCCTCATTACGAGATACACCCTTATCACCGCCGGATACCCTTCATCTTCATCCCCATTCGGCTTTACCACCACGCTCATCATTCACATTTGATGAGCTCAGCCCGATCGCCGAAAACCACACTTCAAATGCCGAAATTTTTCGAATACGGCATTCAAGTGAGAGCTCACTTGGGGATCCCGAGGAGAACCGAGCCCGACTAAAACGACAGTTACAATTCAAGCGAACTTCCAGTGAACCTTGTGGGTCAACCGCTGAGCATTTTGTCATGCACAAAACACTTGTAGTTTCTCACCACCACCGCCTTGTACGCAGGTCGGAATTTTCTGGTATTTGTCTAAAGAGTGTTACACTGAATAATAGCTTACCCAATCCTTTTCAATGCATGTGCATGTATTGTGCCAAAACTGTTGATTTGTTAATTGTAGCAATAATGAGTTCTTTTTCAGAAATTCTTCACCTGCAATGTCAATGTTTGGTGGATCGGCAAGGGATCGATTATCACCACAGTACGCCCAAGGAATTCAAGGTGACTTGTGCTTGTTTACTTATAATTGAAGTATTTTAGATTTGCTGGAAGTGATAAGACCGATACGAAGAGCGGCATCTCCAGAAAGTGTGCGAAGCAGTCGATCACCCTCACCACCGGGCTCAAGTAGCGGCAGAACATCTCCATGTTGGTTATCCTCAGAGATTGATGAACTGAATTTTAGCAGTCTCAAACATTTCCCTATCTCGGTTCAAAGCGTCATGTACAATTGGCGGTGGAATGCGGAAATTGTCTTCATCCCCACATCTACTAGGTAATCTTTAGTTATAGAGATTAAGGACTGACACTTTTTGAACTACGACATTAAACTATTATTGAAAATCTTGCCTAATTTTTCTTATAAATCAAGTTTTTTAGGAATTTGCGAAGAAGGTGAGGAGCTCTTGGCGGAAGGAGCTGCAGCGGGCGGTCTGCCTCATGGACATCACTCATTACTCAACACAAATGCGCATGATCTACCTGGAAGAACAAATAGGTTATAGATTTAATCGTTGACTTTCTGTAATTATCGTTTTAGATCTGCGTCAACCGGTTTGGTAGTTGTTGGGCCTCGCCATCGCCTCGTTTCTTCGAAAAGCATAGGACAACAACCGACTTATAGGTTAGAATATACACATTTTGGTCGCTACCTGAATGTACTTTACTCTAATCTATCTTTTTGACTAAACGAGCACGTAACAAATGCATTCATTGCTCTAATAGAACTCTCTCATTGCGTGCCATAATCTGAATAACTCGTTACAGTGCTGTTCGAATGATTAGACCGCGACAAGCGGTTCTTTCACCTGATGTTCTTCGTAGATACGAAGCAGCTACCCCTCCAACTGTACCTCCTAGTTCTTCGACTCACCCTCCTTTGCCAACTCCTCGCTTTTTTCTAGACCGTAGTCGTCGATCAACAAGGTCATTTGAACGACTCTGTCCTTTTGTCTTGGTTTAGTAAAAGTTGGGCACTATCCGGTTCTATCCCAAATCAATAAAACTCAAAATATTTAACTCCGAGAATGACCCACATTTTAAATGTGGGAACATTTAAAAAACGTATGGGATACAACCGTGTAGCACCCAAGTTGCATGTACCGTAACGACTTGTCTAACAGACCTGTAGAAAGTGTTAGCTTTAGAACGAAAATGTGTTTAGTTGTTCTTCGTCAGAAGCCTCGGACGATGAGGAACGGAATCGCTCTCGACTCCTAATTGGAAGTGGTCGCTGTACACGCGGGATAGAGGGGAGAAGACGTAGCAACGATGACGAAGACCCTGGAGATGGTATGAATAAAAATCTTATAAACTTCTAAATTACTATTTGAGGTGGTGTACTTGGTGGTGCGTCAAAGTTCTCTACAACAACTCATGCCCCTGGTACAGCTACAACAACGACATCAACTTCCGAAAACACGAAAGGGGAACAAGGACGGTATGTACTTGATTTCTAACAAACTTGTAGAAATTCTAATAAGTGTAAAAACAGGAAAACCGAACTTTGTTTAGTTCAAATGCTAAAGAAGCTTGCTCAACTAATCAATGCTGCACGGTTCTTCACCCAATTCCGGAGTTGACACACCTCGACGTTGAATCGATGCAACTTCCTTCAAGAGGAATCTCCAAGTATGGAATTTATTTCTTGATATCACTAGAACTCTTTTTGTAGACAACCCAGATCGGCAACGATAGAACGAGCGATAAGTGGGTGGGCGAGTAGTGCCGAAGCGCTTTTATCCGAGAACGGTTCTTGGCTAGCGACTCCTCCACGGGATCCAGCGCCTTTGCCACGTCAATGGGTGAAAACTGTGTACAGATCGAGGAGTCAAGAAGCCATCGGATCTCTAAGGATCAATATTCGGCATCAAGTAAGGTTTCTCTGAAAGGTATCTCTAATTTTATTTCAAGAGAAATCTTGATGGTCAACGCTATGATTTCAACTCCCCTACCCTGAACACCAAATTTGAGCTTTTTGGTTCACCTGATTCTAGAGATTCTGGACAAGTAAACCGTTCTTAAACGTGGTTTTTAAAAATTACTTCTTTAGGGTTCATCTTCACCCGAAAGCTCACCGATAAGAAATTCGGATGCTGGCGCACCCTCAAGAAAAATGGTTGGTGTTTAAAAAGAAATGAAAAGAAAAAGGTTTTGGATAGAAAGCTAAAGCAATCTTTTAGGTACAAGGCTATCAAGGCACAAATTCATGGAAAAACGATGCTTGCGACGACAAAGTCGACGCTTGGCTTCGAACTGCGCAATTTGGTGTTCGGATGGCCATCTAAACATGACGCTTTGATCTCAACTCTCTTTTCAAATTCTTTCCCCCAATTTCGATGAAGCATTTTATATGTTGCTAAGATTTTTGTTGTGATAATGGCGATTATGAGATTGTTTTTTAGAATTTTAGTTTATTCTTCATCTAAAGCTAGCTAGGATTAATGCCAAATATAGCAGAACTTCTTTTATAATGATTAGGTTATAAAGATTTGTCTCTTTGGAGTTCCGGGATAAAGTTCAAGATCGGGCATTCTTTCGGATTGTTTTTTGTTCTTTCGCTCTAGCTCCTAATATTCTTTTGCTTCATCGGTCAGCATCGAGCTTTATTTCTTAAGTCTTTGTGATCTTTATGTTTGATTTTGAGAAGTTTAACTTGGATAAATAAGCTTTAACGCTTTGTTTTGTTTAAATACATTTGAAAGATGGAAATTTGTTCAAAGATACCTTGCATTTTTAGTGCTATAACATTGTCACATTATAACAAATTTGATTGCAGTATGGAAAGATTTTGGAAGCAGTTAAATTCCAGGGAAAACTAGTTTTATTCGTTGCATTTTTCAGAGCAAATGATTCTTCGGATAAGGAAGTTTGCCATCTCGCCGCATCGATTAAAGAGCACATGTCTAGATTGGCCATTATCAGTAGGGCAGGTAAATTTATTAACGTTTTAATTACAATATCTATGTAAACGTCATTAACTACCTACCTATCTTCTGTCAATGATTGTATGTTTAGAATGCAAGAATTCGCTTCTCCCAGCACCTAAAAGAAATCGAAGCCCATTGGTCGAAAAAGCCGAACAATTGTTCACGATCATCTAATCAACAAAAGTAAGTTGGGCATTTGTGTGACAATATTTTGTTTAATTTTAGGTACATTCTTGCTATGTTTCCCTATCCATCGGGCAATCTCCATATGGTATGAATTTTGCGAATTCGAAAAGTGACGTCAGCAACAATAAGATTTAGGGCCATATGAGGGTTTACACGTTGTCCGACGTTTTGGCTCGATACTATCGACTAAACGGCTACGAGGTATAGTTATCTATTTATTAGTTATCTGCGAAAAATGTCCTTAAAGGTCATTCATCCGATAGGATGGGATGCTTTTGGTCTACCAGCTGAGAACGCCGCTCGGGAAAGGGGAATCGACTCGAGGGAATGGACTGAATCGTGAGCGATTTTTAATGCTTAATATATTGAGTTAATTTTAGCAACATTGCAAGCATGCGTCAACAATTGCTGGCGACTGGCGTCGATTTTGATTGGGATCGAGAAATCCGAACATGTGACCCTGACTATTATAAGTAAGTTTGTTGATCTAATGAGCTTTCTAATATCGAACTTTAGATGGAACCAGTGGATCTTTTTGAAGCTTTACGAGAAGGGTCTTGCTAAAAGGGCGTTATCAGAGGTAGATTTTTTGAAGAAAAACCTAATTGCTATTTTTTTTTCAGGTGAATTGGGATCCGGTGGATGGTACTGTGCTAGCCGATGAGCAAATTGATGCCGAAGGACGAAGTTGGAGGAGTGGAGCTCTAGCGGAGAAACGAACGCTTCGACAATGGGTTATAGAGACGCCACGTTATGTTGAGGTACTACTTTACGGTATCAAAATTACAGAAATTTCTCCAGCGCTTGATGAAAGGCTTGCAAACTCTGGCCCCTCAATGGGACGATGTGGCTCTCCTACAGGCGAATTGGATCGGTCCCTGTGACGTTTATCGTTTTCTCTTTCCATTGAAGGCAAAAAGACTTTTACCAATTTTTTACTAAATTAATGTTTTTAGAATACTGATAATCAAGCGCAACGCGAAGAACGACTTGATTTGCGATTGAAAGACCCATTAAAGTTGGGAAATGCTCCTTTTGTGATGATTTCGCCAGAACACGCTTTGGCTAAAGGACAAAAAAATATTGGGGGGCCCTGTGAGTGGAAATCTTGTGTTTGATAATTTTGTTGATTTAGCTAAATTGCCCATAGAAGTACTCAATGGTGTTACGGGTTGCTACTTGCCGCTTTTCGTCGTCCCCGACAAACTGCTACATTTGGGTCCACACTTTATGAATGCACGATTAGCGTGTCCCGAGGTAAGCAAATTTTGTTTTGTTGTTTTACATTTTGATTAGATCGATAAAGAGTGGCTGCAAACATTTAATTTACCGAGACATCCGCCAAGGAAAACAATGTCAATGAATTTGAATGATGTCTTTGAGTTGGCTCAGGTGAGTTAGGCTTTAAAAATGCCAAAACTCTAATAAAACTGTTAATGTTTGTCCTTTAGTTTGGCGGCTATGCTGGCTATCTTACCTCACGAGTGCAACGAGATTGGGTTGTTTCAAGACAGCGTGCTTGGGGTACTCCAATACCAATGGTTTGTTTGTAAAATTTGAACGCTTTAAGTATATTTTTGTTAAGGTACTGAGTAAAGACGGTTTACATGCCGCACCGTTGTCTTTTGAGCAACTTCCGGTGTTACAAGGCAGTTCGAATAAATCTACGATTGAGCATTTGGGGTGGGTTTGGTTTTTTTACGTCCAATGACTTCTAACTTTTAATTTTAGACTCCCGGGTGGTCAGGGTATGCTTGAGAGTGATACGCTTGACACATTTTTTGACTCTTCATGGTATTTTTTTGAAACCTTCTTGAAACCTGTTTTTGAAAGATAATCACACTTTTATATAGGTACTACCTTCGTTTCCTCGATCCACACAATCCAAACAAACTCGTCGATTATGAGAAAGCAAAAAAGGCAATGCCCGTAGATGTTTATGTGGGGGGAATCGAACATGGTAAACACTTTACAATGTTTTGTCAGGATTTTCTTTTTCAGCTGCTCTTCACATGTATTATGCTCGATTTATGTGCCATTTTCTTTACGACATCGGCATTTCACCTGTCGAGGAACCTTTTCACGAGCTTATACCACAAGGGATTGTGAAAGCAAAGTAAGAAGTTAAAAGTTGTTTGTGAACAATTTTTTTAGAACTTTCTTCATAAAGAACTCTGGGAAATATGTTAATCAAAGTGATGTCGAAAAACAAGGTATCTTAAAGTGTTTTATAAAATTAGTTCTTCCAATTAGATTCTAACCTTATTCATCGTCCAACTGGCGAGATTGTTGAGATGCGTTTTGAGAAAATGAGCAAGAGCAAACATAATGGTATTGATCCAATGGAGGTAAATTTTGAAGTTTAATTTTTACATTAAATTATAACAGGCATTATTGCGTGACGGAAAAGATCTCACTCGACTTCAACTCCTCTATGCGGCTGCCCCGCGTTCGGTGATTGATTGGGGAGAATTTGGTGGGTGATAGATACCTTAAACTCTTGTAAATAACTATTTTTGTAGATAGCCGTGGACTGACCAAATGGCTCGATCGGGTGTCACGAATTGTGAGCAATTATATTGAGGGTCGAACAAAGGTTGCTGCATCACCGAACGGTTCTTCAGATGAAAAACTGCGAGCTATTTACAATACGGTTGTTAAAAAGGTTTGTGTCTTTTTGACTTTAATTTCATTGGAATTCAGGTTACTTGGAATCTGGAAGAATTGCAGTTACATCGACAGGCTTTGTGCGACTTGATGACTCTGACAAATCAGATAAATGTTAGTTTAATCATGTTCAGCAAGAGCTTTAAATATTTGACCAAAGGCTAATGAAAACTTTCTTTTAGGATATTCCTCCAGAGGTTTTCTCGAGTAGTGAAGAAGCAGAAAGGACTCTCCGAGCACTCTTGATTATGATGCAGGTGGAAATTGGCTATTGATTTTGACAATATGAATAAAGGATATTTTACCTTTACTTTAGATTTTTGCTCCACACGCAACTCAAGAATTTTGGGAAGCCGTGCAAAGTGTGCAGCCGATAAACGCTCTAGCGAATCGAGAGCTTTTAAGTCAATCTTGGCCAGAAACGGATCCCGATGCACAGATCGACTTTTTCTTAAAAGTGAGCCACTTTAACTTTTTAGACTTTTTAGTAAACTTTTTAGATGCATGGCGAAAAATTCGACACAACCTATCATCCCCGCTATGACATCGAATCGCTTGACATGAAATCGGCCTTCGGGATGAAGAAAGATTTTCTACAAAGTGACCCTTCGTGGAATCTAACAAATTTGAAAGTAAACATTTTTTAGGCTTTTCTTGACTATTTTATTTTAGGAACTTGAAACACTTGGACATCGTGTTTATCCGGTGGGCAATCGAATTAGAAAAGGTTCGTTTTGTGGATGAAATTGCTCCAATTGTTTATTGTAGGTATTTTCTACGAGTTGAGCGTAGACGTCGAACCACGAATGCCGAGAGATGTCTTTCAGGAAATGGTGAAAAAAGTTGGGGTAAGTATCCAAGCTGCAAAAATACATATTGTACCTACTTGTGAATCTGGTAATTTTTTCTTTTCAGCATCGAAGAGACGAGGCTCAGCGCGGAAAAAGAAAAATGAAGAAGAAAGCACAAGGATAGGTTTTTAGTTTCAGAATGTAAATAGATTAGTATTTTTAGCTTTTTTAATCTATTATTATGTTTTTGTTGTTAAGCTTACAATTTTTTGGATAAATGAAACGAGTACTCAAAAAGTTTTTACGGAAATCAAATTTATTAAGCGTCAAAGTGCAGGGATGAATGAGATCATGGGGTAATTATTCTTTTAAATTATCCCACAACTGACTCGGTGGGATTGATGTCGATCTTGACGTAACGCTCCTGACCGAATTGTCGAATATTGTAGACATCACTCCGAAGATGGCTGCCCGTGATCTCTTCGGGGCCTCCCTCGTAGCGTCTGATTGGTGGGTCTAGAATTGTTTTGATTGATTAGATTAGCCAACTGCATTACGCTAGCTTTAGCAGTGCATTCTTTGGATAATTAAGGCACATTTCGCTACCCACTTGTAACGGGGTTTTTCTTGGGCAAATCGACAAGTTGAGAACCCTCGGCGGGAAACCATCTCTCGCGGGGAACTGAAAACTTTTGGTTTTTCGTTTTTTGGTGGATTATCAAGACCTGAAATCACGGTGGTTGTTTGGTATTCGATTGGTGGTCGAATTGTCATCGGTTCCCAGCCTTCTTTCCCATAACGACCCATCGGTATGGAGCCTAGATAAGGTTTTGAGTACCGTAATCATTCGGTTTAGAAAACGTGCCAACTTTCTCGGCTACTGTTAGTAACCTTGTCTAGTTTTATCTACCTTTTTTCTGATTCTGTCGGTTCACAAAGGATATCGAAAAATAGAAAAAATAGGATTGGATAAAAAGAGACAAGATTACGGTAGTCGAGAAAGAGGAAATGCTTTAGAAAACACAGAAATATATACCGGAGTCATTTCGACTTTCCCTATTGTTAAGAATACTTACCGTAATAATTTTTCTATAGCTAAATAAAGGATTTACATTTAACTCACCCTTTGGATCACTCTCCGACAGATCATCGCCAATCGTTTGTGGCCGGGGTAGCCGGAAATCTTTCCTCTCTGGATACGTCTCCAAAAATGTCACCTCACCCGGTCGTGTGTACTTTTTTAAATTTTCCGGAATACCTGAATTTCTGTTTGTCTCAAATTATTGGAAAAATCGATTCACCTTGTGAACTGTAATCAATTCGTTGATTGATCTCCTTCGAGACTTGTCCATTTTTGTAGGCTGGCGGGTCCTGAAGAGGTTGGTTGATAAAAACGAATCTTTACAATTTACAGTAACTTACCGTAGCCCCGCCATAGCCGGCTCGTGGCTGCAGAGACTGTGGGACGAGCTCGGGGAAAAGTCCCTGGCGATGATCGGGATATGTAGTGAATGTGCGAGCGCCGCTCATCTTTACCTAACTCGAATTAGTCTAGCAGCTCAACAGGTCCTACAGTAACAAGAAACAATTGAAATTGTAACTACAACTCCCACAACTCCTGCAGATTTTCATGTATTGAAAGTGCTCAGTTACGAGTCAGCTAGTCGATTGCTATTGCTCACTATAGGAGCTAGTCGATTGCTACTATTTTATACGGTTTGTAAGCTCCAGCAATGCACTTCTTAAGCTACAAATAGTCTCGGATGGACCCTGGCTCACCAATACTTACCGTACCACTTATAGAACTTGATATAATACCGATACTGGTATCCAAGTCTAATCTGGGTAGTGTGCTGTACTCAAACTGAAAACCCACAAACGGCTGTTGCCCAGGGAATTGTTGTTGCTCTGTGCCGAGCGGTATCGGTGTCCAATTAGGCAAATTCTGGAGGTACTTTTCTGGAGTTTTTATAGATTAGATTGATTTTTTCTAGATTTTTAAGCACTCACGTCCTCTCTGAATCCCGCTCACAGGAAATGTGTAGGCGTTGTTGATCATTTGAGCGGTGGAAACGGGTGATTGGGATTGTTGCGCGAGGAGGCCGGGGATCATTGAATTCTGGGTGGGGTTTGTACCGAGAAGTCCCGATGAGATTAGCTGCGCCTCGGTTAGCCCGGGATTTTGTGGAAGACCGCCGAATTGCGGGGGAAGAACGCCTGGAAATCGAAATGGAAAACTTGGGTACTGTAGTCTGTGATGTTGGGTACTTGCTGGGTACTGTACTCCGTCCTGTGCGCTATTGTACTTTGGGTACTGTTCTCCGTGTTGCCGTATTGTAGGGTACTGTACGCTGAACTGTGGGGTACTGTACTCTGAGCTGTGGGGTACTGTACGCTGAGCTATGGGGTACTATACTCATTGCAGGGTACTGCCAGGTTTTTTAGGTACGCCGTGCTAGGTGCTGGTGAAGGTAGCGTGACTTTGGGCGTTGGCACTGTGTTGTACTCGGTGTTGTACGCTACTGTACAGTACTGGAAAGGGTACTTGTCGATTATGTCCCCTAAATTGATCGATTTGCTTTTTTAAGTGCAGATTTTCGAAGCTATGACTTAAATAATGCTTTTGTCCAATGCTAATTGCACAAATTAGCATTGGAAAATGCTAATTGCACGAAAATTTGCGGAAAATAACCGACAAATATCCTCAAAACTTTAGGCACTTTTTGTAAGCTTCTCTCCTTTGATAAGCTTTTGATAAGCTTTTACTTTGATTATCCCCAGCTTTGGGTACTGTAATCCTTTTTTTTGCACTGTGACTCACAAATGCTTGCCTTGTTGTGCTAAGAGGGCCGAATTCGGCATGCCGAAGCTATTCGGGAGTCCAGCGTTTGCCATTTGTCCGACCAGCCATTGTGAGGAGCTGGATTGTTGTTGCGCGAGACTGGCGAGGGGGAATTGCGATTGTTGGAGGTTGGGTGCGGGTAGATTTTGCCCAGGTAGAGCAGCTTCAAAATTCGCCGCACTGGCGCCGAAATTCGGCAGTGCGCCAAGGACGAAGCGGTTCGGTGGGCCGTTTGAAGAGAATCTAGAATGAGTTTTATAGGATTTTACTTGAAATTTGCATATCCAAAGCTGTTTTAACAGATTTGAGACGAATTTTCATTGAATTATCATTGAAAAAGTTGACGACTACGCGACTGTACGCTGAAAAAGTTAACGACTACGCGACTGTACGCTGAAAAGGTTTACGACTACGCGACTGTACGCCCAAAATAGCCAGCTTACCTGTCAACATTTGTTTCGAAACGATCCAATCCAAACATTGTCGGCTGATTGGGCGTTGCCTGGTTGATAGGCACGATTGGCGGTTGATCGGATCGACGAGAAGGTAGCCAGGCTCGGTGATCATCGATTTCGACTAGAGATAACGTAGAGATCACTAGCATTCTTTCAGAAGCAAGACCAGAAGCCAAGTCCAGGTCTGCTACAGATCTGGCAAGTCCAAGGATCTGTTCAGAATCAGATTCTTTGGCTTTTGGCTAGAGCCTTGAGCCTAGAGCCAACTGATGCATCAGCCTAGAGCCTAGAGCAAACTGTCCGTCGGACCTTATCAACGTCCGACGGACAACGATAGTCTAAAGTTTAGTTCTTCCCGCTTACCATTCTTTTTCTGAAGTGTCTCGCCGAGTTTCTGTGCCAATTTCTCAGGGTTTTTCACCGCCTCGTTGATGAATTTTCCAATTCGATTCGGGATATTCGTCGACTCTTGCAGCAATTTCGCCGCATCTCCCCAGACAGAGGGTCTAAAAGATTTTGAAAGAATGAAAGAATGAAAGAATGGAAGAACGAAAGAATAGAAGAATGAAAGAACGAAAGAATGGAAGAATGAAAGAATGAAAGAACGAAAGAATGGAAGAATGAAAGAATGAAAGAATGGAAGAACAAAAGATCAACTTAAAGTTAAATCTCATTGTTACCTGGAGGTCATCAGATCCGGATCGGGAACGTTTGGAGGAAGAGTCGGTGAAGGGTTCACGGGCACTATCGGCAATAAATCCTACAACAAATCGCAAATTTTATTTAACCTGGATAAAGATCAAGATCCTCATTAGATTTATCGTTTAAAGAAAGAACGAAACGTATCACTTAAAATGCAGTAATTCTTGATTTACCTTCTCTTTCGAAACCCCTCCAACAGAATGTGGTCGACCCGAGAGAAACAGCGCTTTCTCCATTCCATCATCGTCATCATCTAAATAGTGCATTTAAAAGTATCCAGTTATATTTGAAGCAAGGTTTTTGCAGTGACCAGTTGAGTTGAGCAAGTAACCTAGTTGAGAAGGTCAAACTGATGGACTGTTCTGTACTGGCTTAGTCTAAACTCCAAGCTATCCATGTCTAGTCTAAAATGTAATACAAATGTATGCCATAAATACAGCCTGGTATTGGTCTAACTACCGCGACCAGGCCTGTCTCTAGTCCAAAAACTTAGGCTGACCTGATTCTGATCCAGCTCTGGCCTGATCCTCCTGGTCAGCTCAGACCCTGATCCCCCTGGCCAACAGAGATCCTCCTGGCCAGCCCTGATCCTCCTGGCCAGCTCAGATCCTCCTAGCCAGCTCAGATCCTGATCCTCCTGGCCAGCTCAGATCCTGGTCCTCCTAGCCAGCTCTGGCCTAGTCCTGGTCCTCCTAGCCAGCTCAGATCTTGGTCCTGGTCCATCTAGACCCTGTCATGCCTGACCTTAGAGAAAGCAAAGCCTTGAACTAAATCCTCTAAATTTAAAGAAACTAAATTTCAACAACTTCTCCCTATAAAGTACATTTCTAGTATAGATACACTTTTCAAATGTAGCGATCTTCTTTACCTCCAAAAAACCTCTCCTCTTGATTTCCCTTGCCACTCGTGTTTTCCTCTTCCTCTTTAAAAATTCGTTTATTTCCACCGTTGAATAGCGAGTTTTTCTAGAAAAGGCAATAAGAGTTTTGCTTTTTTTTTTTCCTCACTTTTTCAATGCTAAACAATTTTTCTCGATTTTCTTGTGACTCTTCGTAAGCTTTTGAGAATGATGACGGTGATGGGCGAATGATTGGCGGAGTGGGGATTTTCGGGGCAACGAAGTGAGGCATTCCGCCAAATGATGAAAGGAGTGTTTCGCTTGGATCGGGTAACTAAACCATTTTTTCAAATGGTAAGATTCGCTTTAATTCGGTTTGTTTATCGCTTAAAATTAGTGGAGAGTAGAATTGGGTTACCGTAGGAAAGTACGCAAAATATTCAGCTTATTACAGTAACCCTATCTGTCTGTCCCTCTGTCCGTCTGTCTGTCTGTCTGTCTGTCTGTCTGTCTGTCTGTCTGTCTGTCCGTCTGTCTGTCCGTCTGTCTCTCTGTCCGTCTGTCTGTCTGTCTGTCTGTCTGTCCGTCTGTCTGTCCGTCTGTCTGTCCGTCTGTCTCTCTGTCCGTCTGTCTGTCTGTCTCTCTGTATGTCTGTCTGTCTGTCCGTCTATCTGTCTCTCTGTCCGTCTGTCTGTCTGTCTGTCCATCTGTCCGTCTGTCTGTCCGTCTGTCTCTCTGTCCGTCTGTCTGTCTGTCTCTCTGTCTGTCTGTATGTCTGTCTGTCCGTCTATCCGTCTGTCTGTCTGTCTGTCCGTCTGTCTGTCTATCTATCTATCTGTCTGTCTGTCTGTCTGTCTGTCTGTCTGTCTGTCTGTCTGTCTGTCCATCTGTCTGCCTGTCTGTCTGTTCGTCTGTCTTAACGACTCACATTGTTCCCATTTGACGTGAAACTCTTCTCCGGTACAGCTTTGGCTTCATTTTCCTCATCACCATCCAATAAGCCGCCAAATTGCTTGAGTGAATCGACGAGTTGATGCAATTTATTGTCTAAAGAATTCTAGAAAGCTAGGAATTGCCAGGGTTAGAAAAATTATTTAACATTTTCCAAGAAAGGAAAAGAAACATTGGCTAGGGTTCGAAAAATTGGCTAGGGCTAGGGTTCGAACCTAAGCCTAAGAACCTGATAGATTCAGCAGGCTAGCACACTATCCGCTCGGATCTAAGCTAGAGCTAAGCTAGACGCCAGAGAAGCCCGAGACGCCAGAGATGAGCCTGCAGTAAAAACCAAACGATCTTCGCTTGATTTCTTGTTTTATTTGACTTGGGCTAGTCTTTAAAAGAATGTCGATAAAGAATTACCAGCTGGTCGGAGAATTGCGTGATTCTTTGAAATGATCGGACTTGGCCCGTACTCGACATTCGTTTTCGGGCTCAAGACTTGTAGATTCCCCGCTCGAGTCGAGGCCAACGCTTGTTCAACCTAAATACCATAGAATTCTTTTAATTTTAACCTTCAACTCTTTTTCGTTCTGTTAGTTTAAAGAAAAATTCACTCCTAATTTGCCTTTTGCCTTTTGGCTTAACCATTTGCCTCAAAACTTTGCATGGATATTAGATTTGAAGTCGTTTTTTGATTTCATTCGATGCGAAATTCGATTCTGCATCGAATGATCGTTTAAATAGATAAAATAGAAGGATTGGTCCTGAGTAAAACAAGAAAAACTTTCAATTGCCTCATAACTTTGCATGGATAATATATCTTAAGCTCATTTTGATTTCATTCGACGCGCAATTTTATTCTGCATCGAATGATCGTTTAAATAGAGAAAATAGAAGGATTGGTACTGAGAAAAACAGAAAAAAATCATCTTTATCAGAGAAAAACGTAGGGAAATTAAGGAAAATGTAAATGGCTGTAAATGGCTGTAAATATCTCCAAAGAATGGCTGTGAATACTGAAAAAATTATCGAAGATCGGCTCTCTTTAAGCGAGCTGGACTTAGGAGGCGGGGTTTGTCTGGTTTTTATTGCCAACGGCATCGAAAAGATCGCTTTCTGGAGGATACCCCATTAAAAGGATGGGGTATCCTCCAGAAAACGGTCTTTTCGATGCCATTGGCATTTTGTATGGGAAATTTTGTGGTGGTACCAGTTTTGAGCTCGTAACTCGACAACGAGAGTCTAGAACGAAAAACAAAGGGATAAGCTTTATTCTAGAGACTCTCACGAACATTTTGATACAAAAATCATCAAATTTGCTCAACTCTACAAAAAGCTAAAAAAAAGCCCATGGAGCTCGCTCGACTCTCGCTCTCTGCAATCAGCTGTTTCCGGGCTACTGGGGTAAGGACATTTGGCCGTCGAATAGCCCCAATTTGAACCCCCTGGACTTCTCCGTTTGGTCGATCTTGGAAGACAATAGTTGTTGGTTGATCTTGGGGTTGTTGGTTCGGCTCTCCCGCGGCACTTGAGCCATTATTTTGCATATTCCTTAATTGTTTTGAGTGAATACGATACATAGCTACATTTTTGAGTACGATACAGTTCTTTTGTGAATACGATACAGTTCTTTTGAACAAAACAATTGTTCAATAGAGAATTTTTTTCAATTTTCTTATTTCTTTTTTTTAAAAAATTTTTTTTAAAATGTTATAACTTTTTGTAGAGTTGAGCAAATTTGATGATTTTTGTATTAAAATGTTCGTGAGAGTCTCTAGAATAAAACGTATTCCCTCGTTTTTTGTTCTAGACCCTCGTTGTCGAGTTACGAGCTCCAAACTGCAGGGTACCACAAAATTTCCCATACAAAATGCCAAACGGCATCGAAAAGATCGTTTTCCCCATCCTTTTAATGGGGTATCCTTAGAAAAACAAGAAAAACAAGAAAAACCTTGAAAGCGATCGATATTTTTGTTAGAAGTAGACTCACTTGCGTCCGATCATCGTCATCCAAGTGTTGCAGGATTCTCGCCATCACGATCGCTTTCTCGTTTCCGCTTAGCGATCCGTTCGCGTGAATTGTCGCCAATTGCCCAAGGCTCTAAGCGTAGTGTACTTTGTGCTCAATTTTGTAAACACATCTTTTCTAATGCATCGAACTCTCGGCTACGATTTTAGGCCATTCGCCCCGCCCCTTTTCCCATTAGCAAAACTTTGAGCTCAAGTATCTCGGTGCTGGGGCGTTCAATTTCAACAGTCTTGGTATCATTAGATGCGCCAAGTCTTTCTCTATCGATTGATATAAAAACTATTCAAATTGGACGGCTCAACACCAAGAAATTTAAGCTCAAAGTTAGACTGCCAAAAGGGGCGGGGCCAGAAAGACCTTTTATACGCGCCCCGCCTCTTTTCCCATTAGCACTTCCCAAGCTGGCTTCTGGTGGGTTTAGGGATTGTTTTAGATCAGCCCTACAACAACGTTATTGGAGATTTAATACGCGTCTCGTTCCTTTGCCATTGGAAACTTTGAGCTCAAGTATCTCGGTGCTGGGGCGTTCAATTTCAACATTCTTGGTGTCATTAGATGCGCCAAGTCTTTATCTATCGATCTATATAAAAACTATTTAGATTGGACGGCTCAACACTAAGAAATTTGAGCTCAAAGTTTTGCTAATGGGAAAAGGAACAGACCTCGGCCCTTTTAGCAGTCTAGCTTTGAGCTCAAATTTCTTGGTGTTGAGTTGTCGAATTTCAATAGTTTTTATATCAATCGATAGATAAAGACTTGGCGCATCTAATGATACCAAAAAGATTTGAATTGGACAGCTGAACACCGAGAAATTCGAGCTCAAAGTTAGATTGCCAATGGCAAAGGGGGCGGGGCGTCGAGCACCCGATAATCCTCTATTACAGCAAGAAAATGGCAAAGGAAATGGCGAATTCAATGCACGAGAAAGAGTGTGTTTCCAATGCGAATACAAAGTGCAAAAATCGAGTTCTCGTACTTGGTGTAAATGCTCGGGTAAATAGGCTCTCATCCGGAGCATTCGATTCAATTTCTCGTCCCTTTCATTCTCAGAAAGTCGGCTTAACTCCTGAATGTTTTGGATTGGCATTGTGGATTGGCGTTATGGATTGGCATTATGGATTGGCATTATGGATTGGAAAACTTTGAGATTCGCATTGGCAAACCTGCATCACTTGTGGATTTGGATAGGTGCCTTTTTCGAAAAGGAACACTGAGACTTCGGCCATTTTCTGGAGTTGAGCTTTGTTGCTGGAATTGGTATTTGCTTGATTTTAAGATTTTGAAAGATTTCGAGATTCTCAGATCTCAGATTTCGAGATTCACTTTGTGCTTCAGCGAACAAAAAACGCACTTTCTCGTGCCCGGGAAATCCCTATTTTTCTTTTGGTAATAGCTCCGGGATCGCTCGCCGAATTCAGCCGAAAACGGAAGAATTCAGCGCATCAGAAAGGGTGTGTTTGAATGTTTTGAGCACAAAGTTCATTCTATAGATGTAGCTAAAGGTTTACCATGATTGCAAAATCGCATTAATGTGCTGCAATCGATTCGCATCGTTTTCCTTTGATCTCACCGCGTCGATGGCTCGATTCGCCCACTCGGTGTCACAGTCAGGATAGAACTGATGATGGCAATCGTAGATAGATCGATTACGGTGTATAGATCGACTTTTAGGGGAAATAGATAACAGGGAAATTGATTACTGTAACTATAGTCAACTTTTAGGAAACTGAATAAAAAAAATGAACTGAATAGTTAGAAGATCAAAAATTATGCGCGACCTGGACTCGAACCCGGGATCTCTCGCTTACCAGTCAACTGTGCTAACCATTACACCACAAGGCACTTCGCACCCCCTTGCTTTAGAGGGACTTAAGAGAATTACAATCCATTATGGCGTGAATCGTTTTTGCAGAATGATTCTGAGTCACATAAAGCCCTCTTCAGAAGACTCCGGTCAAAGTGGGTGCGTGGTGTAGTGGGTAGTGAGTCAGCGTACGGGGCAGGTAGTCGAGGGTTCGAATCCGGTCACTGCCTTTTTTTGGAAATCTATCTCCATTGTTTGGAGAATCTATCTCCATCTACATCTACACATGCTGGAGCTGATGTGTTGTACTTGATTTGATGTTAAACTATGTTTTGCTTACTTTCTTCATTCTTATCTTCTGTTTAATCGTTTGCGTTATTTAGTTAAAGGATATGATAGATTTGCGATAAATAGCATAGCATAGACTTGAAGCTAGGCCTAAAAAGTATTTACAAACAAACAAAAAGAGAAACGTGAGCGGATTCGAACCGCCGAGTGGCTCATCGGGTAGCCACTCCGTTTCCTAGCCTACTATCCATTACACCATGCAGTCACAGCTCTGTCGAACATCACTTTTGAGTAAAATTGATAACTGTTCAACTATTAGAAAGCTTAAAGTAGCTTAAAGTAACTTAAAATAAAAGGGATTACGGTAACTATGAAAATCTTTTATAAAAACATATTACTAACGGATTATTGTAGATTTTTCAAAGACTAATAGAAAGACTTTTCTTCAAAAAATAGAAAGACAAAGACTTTTCTTCAAAAAAACTTTTAAACTCACCTGGCTATTCGTTCTGAAATCCGCTTGCGTAAATGTTTTCAAATTCAAAATTATATAAATAAGTAGTAAAGGGGAAATGTTGAGCCCAAGAAGGAAAAACATTCTTCTGAAGGTTCAATGTGAAATCATCGATACGAAGATTGATCTAAAATTGATGAACATGGGAAATTTGTTTGCAAAATTTGCATTTGAATGGTTGAATGGAGGAGTTGTCGAGGAGTTTCTGAAAGAATGGGCCTCTCTATTTGTTCGGCACTTTGTTTTGGATATGAGTGGGGGGGAAGGGATCAAGAATTGGAGAAAAGAAAAGGGAAATGAAAATGGAGAATATTTGACAACTATTTGGTGACAGGTGACAACTAATTGGCTATAATTTGGCTACAACTATATTTGGCAACTATTTGGCTCAAAAAAAAGCGCATCAAGAAAGAGTTTGACTGGAATTTCAGATGTGCATTGCATTGCATTGCATTCTGCAGTGATAAACTAAAATCAGCTTCAACTTTCAGCCAAATCTCTATTTCTTTTCTACGGTAGCGTCAAGTTTTTAATTTAGAAACTGTTAGAAACAATTTAGAAACTGTTAACTATAGTTAGGGACTGATTTTCGTTCAAATTTCGAATAGATTTGAGAAAAAGCTTAGAAAAACTAAACGTACAGAAAAGAATTGAAATTATATTTCACTTCTGGACTTTTGTAAAGAAAGTCTAGAAATTAAGGCAAATTCAAATAGCTAAAGGAAGGGAATTAAATACAACTTCAATCTAAGACATTTAAACTCAAATCAACGGAGATTAAATTTCAAATTCAAACACGCCAGAAAGAATAAATAATCAACAAGTCACAAGAAAGAGTCATGAAAAACTAGACTGAAATAGATTTGAGACTATCATTTTGGGAGAGTGCGCCAAAACGGGACAGCGCCAAAGGGACAGCGCCAAAGGGACAGCGCCAAAGGGACAGCGCCAAAGGGACAGCGCCAAAGGGACAGCGCCAAAGGGACAGCGCCAAAGGGACAGCGCCAAAGGGACAGCGCCAAAGGGACAGCGCCAAAGTGACAGCGCCAAAGTGAGAGCGTCAAAGTGAGAGCGTCAAAGTGAGAGCGTCAAAGTGACAGCGTCAAAACGTTGAAAATGGCGCTGTAAAATGTCAAATCCAAAAAAAGATATTCAGTTAACCAACTGACAAGGGAAAGGCATCAACTTGGTGAGCTTATGGTGAGCTTATGGTGAGCTTTCAAAATGGTGAGCTTATTGTAAGCTTTTGGGACATAGCCTATTCGAATCTGAATTCGATTCTGATTCTGAATCTGCTTTTAACTTTTGCCAAATATCATGGAATCAATTTTTCTAATCCAAAAAGTAGTCAATAGTTAGAGAAATGGAAAGAAGAAATTCTTGAGTGATTCACGGCGTGAAACCTCGATGGATACTTGTTTTCTGGTTATTTTTGTGCCTTTGGTTTCGGTGAAAGTTGAATGGTTTTGGTAAAAAGAGAAAAAAAAAAGGAGAGCTTTCGATGGGGCTAATACCCGTAGGTAGAAGAGACTTGGAGAGACTAGAGCCATCCCCAGCCTGTAGAAGAGAGACTAGAGCCATCCCCAATCTATAGAAGAGAGACTAGAGCCATCCCCAGTCTGTCCTCAGCCATCCCAGTTCTCAGCCTCCCCCCAGGCCCCCTTCAAGTCTAGAAACCGGTCAGCATACCTAAAGGCATCTTTTTTGGCTCTTTTTGGCAGAAAAACTCTCTCCTTTTCAACTTTCCCCCACACGCAATGAGTGAATGCATAAAACACGCAATAGCCGATAAAAACAATATTTTTGAACAGATATTACGAGGGAAATTCGATCGGTTTCTAGACTTCATAGAGAAGGTCATAGAGAAGAATTGCGGTAGTATTACTTATTAAAACAGTCGATACGTCGATTACAGTACAGGGTGCGCCATAATTGTCGCAACAAGGTATCACGCGCGTTCAATGACAAAGAACTCGTTGATTTAAGCTTCATTTCTGGGTTTTTTTTGTTTTTATTATATTTGGAATATAATTGAAACCTTTTATATAAAATATGTTTTTTAGCATGGCTGAAAAATCCTCCATGGCCAATCGATTATCGAATTGCACAAGCGATGAGGCTCAGCTCAGCAGGGATTTATAAGCGTCTTAAAGTCGACAGAAGTGTCACTTTCCGCACTATTCAACGCTACGAAGCTACGGGAACAATTGCTGATGCCTCAAGAAGCGGTAGACGCCCAACTGTCGTCACAAAGACAACCATCAAGCGAGTGACGAAGGAGCCAAACCAGTCAGCAAAGCAAATGGCAAAGAAGATGGCGATTTCAAGCACTCATTGTGTCGGATCCTCAAAAATAAACTCAAACTTACTGCTTACAAGAAAAACAAGGCTCAACTTCTTTCAAATGCCGCTAAAAACAAGCAAAAATTGAGAGCAGATCAGCTATTGATGAGCTTCAATGGAATCGACCATCACAATATCTTGTTCACAGATGAAACGATATTTTCCTTTCCTTTCCTTTGAAGATCTTCTAAACAAGCAAAATGAAGTCAAAGAAAGAAAGAAGCCAAAGCTTGTTCAAAGCTTGTTCAAAGCTGCACAAAAGATCGAAAGCTTGAAGAAATCACTGTTGAAAGCATGGGAAGAGCTTGATCCAGCCTATTTGGTCGCCACCGTTGATGCCTTCCCCTTTGCCTGTGAGCCTATTCAAATGCTAATGGTGGGTGAGCCGAATTTGATATTTGATTTATAATTGTTTATGTACAACAAGTTAACAATTTATCTTTTTTTGCTCTTAAAAGTTCTTTTTGCTCTGCGCCTTAAAATCAGAACTTTATCAGAACTTTATGTTGCGACAATTGAATAATTTTGTCTACAATAGCTACAGGGTTACAATAGCTACAGGTTAAGATTGCGCAAGTCTGATGATAGTCTGATGATAAAAGTCTGTCGTAATGATAAAATATAATGTAGTATGTCTCGCTATAGTAAATCAAGCTGAAAACTGAAAACTTTTCGTCATGTAGCACAGAAAATTACAAAATTTTTAAGCCAACAGTTTGGTTCAACATTAAGTCACGAAATATCATACAATTTGAACAACTTTGACAACAAAAACAAATTTGAAACAAACAAATAGAACAAATGCTTTGAATGTCTGGGCAAATGTCTTTGTTTTCCCTGGGGAGTGCCCCGATCTGATCTCTTTGTTTTCTAGACAACGTCAAAAAGTCGAAGGTTTACTTTGGATGCAAATGAAATAGACTTTATTTCCTTTTCTTTCTTCCTTTTCTTTCTTCCTTTCTCTTCCCCCTTGTATTTCCTCTTTCTTCTCTGGCAAGAAGATACCGGTATGAGCTATCCGGATAGCTCAGTGGTTAAAGCATCTACCAGAAAAGCGAAAAGTCAATAGTTCAATCCCCTCTCCAGAAATCTTTCTTTGCCTACAGCGACCTGCCTTAGACCTACAGCGACCTGCCTTTGCAGTAATTTTTACCTAAAACAGTTTACCTAAGCTTACAGTCTCCAGTTTTGCGCCGTGTATGCACATTTTTCCGAAACCACTGCTTGTCTCTTGGAAATCGTTCCATTGCAACACAATTGACGAGTGAAATGTAAGCGCTTTGCGGCTAAATTTACACAATTTTATCTTTTCTATAAACTTTCTTGAGCTTTTTCTTTGAGAATTAATTTAAAACGTTTTCATTTTCTTGTATTTTGGTATTTTAAGGTTAAAATTTTAGAAACAACGATGAGTGCCGTGGATTTGGACCAAAAGCCGAAGTTTGATAGTGAATCGACGAGCAAAAAGCTTAAAAAGGTGCGAAATTTTTTGATTTTACTGGTTTGGCTAAAAATTTGTTATTATTGGGTTGTCCAGTTATGAATGCGCGTTTTTACTATTTTGTAAATTTCTCAAGATATCGAACAGATGTATATGAGTGTTATGTATCATTCGAAAGCTGAAGATCTCCTCTACATTTTGATATAAAAAGCTTTGGAATTTGTTCAGCTTTTGGGCAAATTGATTGCACAAAGGGAGAGGTCGTTTTCGAAAAAAACCCATTCCAGCTTAGCCATTCCCATTCCAGCTATTCCTCAAGTTTTATGGTGGAAAATAACCGCCCAGAAAAGTAAAGATGCTCTGAAATTGTTATATTTTTTAAAAAAAACTTGTATTGATATATCTATTGGCCAAACATCAAACGGTTAACTCAATTTGAGCGGAGCCAAAACTTGATCCAAAGGCACCCTTCCATTTTTTGGCCACCTCTTCTTCTGTGCAGTCAATTTGCCCAAAAACTCGACAAATTCAAAAGCTTTTTATATCAAAATGTAGAGGAGATCTTCAGCTTTCGAATAATACTCATATATATCTTTTTCTTGATTTCGGTATCTTGAGAAATTTACAGAATAGTAAAAAACGCTCATTCATAACTGGATAACCCAATATTAATGTTCTGTTTAGAAAAACGTGAAAACTAAGCCAGAATTGCCGAAAGCAGAAAACAAGACGAAAGTTAAGTCGATTTCGAATGGTTTATCGGATAAATCAAAGATGAAGACTAAGAAAAAGGTGGGTTTAGTTTTGATCTACATCTTAAAAATAACTATTAGAAGAAGCTAGCGAAACCAGCCTTGGAAATGGATCAAGTTCCCGGCACAAAGCACAAGGTTAATTATTCTTTCTCAAATTAAAGAAAATTCTTTGCTTTTAGGTGAAAGCTGAGGCCGACGCTTCATCAAAAGAAACAAAACCTAAACGTGTTAAGAAGGTTAGAGTGTAATGAGATTTTACAAAATTTCTTTTAGAGAAAGCTGGACGCCAAGAGCGAAGTGAAAGAGAAACAGCCAGAAGAGGATAGTTTCATCATGATCAACAAGAAACCAAGACTTTTGGAAAAAGCTGGTTCGTTATTAAGGGTTTAATATGATTGTTTGCTTAGTTAAATCAGAAAAAGCAGATGTGAAACCGAAAAAGAAACAACTTCAGCAAAAAGCTCGTTCGTTATCAATAATTAATCAATGGTATTGGTTGTTTAGTTAAATCGGAAGAACAAGAGGCTGTGAAGCCGAAAAAGCAAAAACTTCAACAAAAAGCCGGTGAGTTGTTGCTGTTCTACAAAATTGTAAATGTTCAGATCAAGAAAAATCAGAATCAAAGCCGAAAAAGAAACAACTTCAAGAAAAAGATGGTTCGTTGTTAGTGATCTGAGAAGGTATCGGCTGCTTTAGATCAGGAAAAAACGGAGGTGGAGCCAAAGGAGGAGCGTCAAAAGTTTTCCTACACAAACATTTTGAAGAAGTTGAGTACAGTGACAGGAGAAGAAGAGGTGGGTTTTAAAGAACCATCCGCGACGCGAAATGACTTTAAACCATGATAATGTTTATTTTTAGGCTGTTTCCCTGATCAAGCAAGATATCGAGAAGGGAGAACTTGGACTAAAGGATATCGGAAATGTGATACGCAAATGGCGGCAAGCTAAACAACGAAAGGTTTGATTTTTTTCAATTAATAAGTTTAAATTTCTTTAGGATCTCCCTAGACCCGATCTCAAAGAGCTTTTCGCGTATGAGGGAACACTGTCCGATTTGAAAGAATTAGTTACAGGCTTTGTGAACAATGGTGAGTAATCATAGATATTACGAATGACATTTATTATTTAGGTTTATTGCATCCAATGGCAGCTGGACGAATCGTTAGCAAATGGAAAATGCGAGAGGGTCGCCGAGTGAGGAGACAGATTCAAAAGAAAAAGTGAGTGCTAATCTGTTTTGGATAGAGGGTTGAAATGATTAAGTGTTTTTAAACAATAAATTATTTGGTCTTTAGATGTTAAAGTCTAAATTTTAGCACCCGTGTTTGTTTGCGATGTCGTGAGTCCGGTCACAAGATCAATGAATGCCCAAAGATGACCAATCAAGTAATATTTTTGTTTTGAAAAGCACTAGTTCTAACGATGAACATGATATAACAAACATAATAATAACAAACATAATAATAACAAACATAATAATAACAAACATAATAATAACAAACAGAATAATAACAAACATAATAATAACAAACATAATAATAACAAACATAATAATAACAAACATAATAATAACAAACATAATAATAACAAACATAATAATTACAAACATAATAACAGGGGTAGGCTAGTTACCGCAACTTTTTTTGCGCAACAGGGTCATTTGCGCAACTCGTCATAACTTTCTTCTAAGTGGGCTAATCTGTCTGGTTTTGGTCTCATTTTGTAGATCTCAATAAGTGCAACAAAATGAAACCAAAATCATAAAGATTAGCCCACTTAGAAGAAAGTTATGGCGAGTTGCGCAAACGACCCAGTTGCGCAATGACCCTGTTGCGCAAAATAAGTTGCGGAAACTAGCCTACCCCTAATAACAAACATAATAATAACATTAAACTTAGTAAACTGAATAACTTTTCTTTAGGAAGGCGTCGATATTTGCTTCAAATGCGGTTCAACAGAGCACGCTATTTACAAATGCCCAAGGAAAGACAAAGTGCAAGGTTGAATCAGTTTGTAAAGTTTACTATATTGCTGTTTAGGTTTTCCATATGCCACTTGTTTCATCTGTAAAGAACAAGGACATTTATCCAAGGATTGTGATAAAAATGAGAAAGGAATCTATCCGGATGGTGAGTTTAAAAACACATTTAAAGAATCTCAATTGCTAATTTAGGTGGCTGTTGTAACATTTGTTTTTCGAAATTTCATTTGATCAGAGATTGTCCGCAGAGGTTGAGCTCATCGGGTGCAACGGTTGGCGAGGATATGGAGAAAGGTTACGATTTGATCGATTTTAATTCATTTATATTATTTAATCTAAAGATGTAGTTTCAAAATAGATTTAACTAATCTATTAGGCTGTCCAGAAAGTCTTTTTGTTCCTTTTCGTACTTTCGTTTAGAACCAACAAGTGCACCAATTGAACTACGGTTTTTTTCATTAGAAAAATTTCCTTAGCCAAAGTGTCCAAGCCGCATCGTTATTTTTCTGCAAAATAACATTAAAACAGGTTTTAAATGTCTTATTTCTGGATTTTTTTGGGACCGTGAAGTCGGGTAGTCAAAAAGGGCCACGGCTCGATGCGGCTTGGACACTTTAGCTAAAGAAATCTATCTGGGTGTTAATAGATAAAAGATAGAGTATAAAAAGTTAGATATATAGCCAAATTTTCAAGGAAATTGATTCAGCCAATTTCTTCATAGAAGTTTTTATAGATTTTTAACAAAAAATACGTTTTCACTCCCGAATTTGCTTAAAAGTGAACCCAAATTGACTTAAATTGATGGGAAATTGAACAATAAACATTTTTTAGTTAGAGCAAACCATAGGTTAATTAGTGAATTTGTGATTTTTCAACGGAAGTACGAAAAGGAACGAAAAGATTTTCTGGACAGCCTAATATTTTGTTAATTTTACAGCTATTCGCAAGCCGATCAACCGCTCTGTTGATGAGGACAACTTTGAGTTTGAAACTGACAAAAAAGATGCTGAAGAAGTGGCTGAGCATCAAACATTCCCGAAGAAATCGATAAAGAAAGGGAATATGAAGAAAGTTATTAAATTTTAGTTATTTTTAGTTGTTACTTTTTTTGTGATCCTTGTTGACTTTCGTTGTTATACTTGTTGTTGAATTTAGTTGTTAAATAAATTTTTTAAAGTAAAGTTCGTTTAGTGGCTGCTGTTATTTCAAAAACAATACTTTTTCAGTTGAAAAAAAAATGTTTATGCGTTGAAAAGTTGAGATTTTTGTTTAGATGCCCTCGTTACCGCGCGTGGATCGAATAAAAACAATCTATTCGGCCAGAAAGGTTTTTGTTTTTTAATGGGTTACTTTAAAATTTTACATTTAGGCGCTCAACTATGGCTTTCGATTCACGGATTTTGTGAAACAACCGGCTTTCAATGGCGTTTCGAGATTTATTCCACAGATGCACCGCATCACTTTCAGGTTAGCTTAAATATTCGATTGATTCAAGAAAATTGCATTCAGATTTTGTAAACAAAGCGAAGACAGTGTTGGGATGAGGAATTTCATCGAGAGTCGACTCGTTTCGCTAGCCCAAGAGCATCCATATCTTGTGGTTGGTTTTTTGAAAACATTTGCTCACTTATTTGCATTTAGATCTACGCTCAACCGATACGAAACACAACGCCAACAATACGAGCTGAATATGGAAATGGTCGAATAGTACACTTGTGAGCTCTTTGATTTGCTTAAATAAATATCCAATTTCTTTAGGTCGTCCAGCGGTTTACCCTTGGAGCAAATTGAAAAAGATGTCCAGTTAATGATTTCTCGATCTGGGTTGCCGGTTGTGAAATTTGAGGTTTGAGATTTTGCCATAATTTGAGCTTGGGTTTTGCCTTCGTGGGGTTTTTTAATGCTTACCTTCAAAATCCTGTAGAAGTACTGAACTCCTATGATATTATGGGTGTACCAACTGCGCTGGGCATCCGCTACGCGGCTGCTTCGCTAAAATTTCATTAAATTCCTCTCTTAAATGCAAAATATGATGAAGTTAGATGTATCGCGTAGTCGCGCTGAAAAAAAATTCCACCGAAACACCGCCACTTCGTAACTCAGCGGGTTTTCAACTTTTTAAAAATCTGCTTGCAGATTCGTGATTAGCGCATTTTTTTTACCCTAATCCTAAAAGTTTCAGCCAAAACGGATCATTTTCCGAGTTTATTGCTAGCGGATAGACTGACAGACCTGTCGATTTATTGGGTTGGGGAGAATGAGTCGGCGCCAAACTTTAAGGGCTTTCACAATAAAGCCTCTTAAAACATACGTTTGGTTTCATCAAAGATCCACTATTTCTCAAAAAATGAGGGGTTTATGAACCAACGCGCGGAAGGAGCCGCCACACAGTTCTTTCACATAAACCTCTTTGGTGTTTATAAAAGGGCACATTCATTCTTCAATTTGCGGAGATCCCACTGGTTTTTTGATGACAGTTTGTAGTTTTTGTGAAAAAATGGCTTTTTCTTGAGCGGAGGCGCTGTTTGAATTTTCTTTTAAATGTCATTTTGTAGAGAATTAGTTAACCATTCTACTGATATCAAACGCATACTATTTGACGAAGTCTGCTAGAAGTTTTAGACATTTTTTTGATTTTCGGCGCCGACTCATTCTCCCCAACCCAATATATATATATTAGATAACTTTACTTGTAACTTTGTTACCGTCTCAACTTTAGGGTCGACAAACCGCGAGTGTGCCCTCGATTCAGGGAGAATGGACTCCATTCACATGGCAGCCTGCTCGTATGACAAATGCCGAGCTGATGGATGAGGAATTCTCGAAGCACAAAAGCGTTAAACAAACTGTCTCCGATTTTGTGCTTGAACATGGACGTCATTTTCAAAAATAGATAGGTTTACGGGTTTTTTTTGTTACCCTATTTTCTCCGATAGGGCTGTTTTTAGATGATTTTGGCCAAATAGTTTTAACGTAGGCCATATCGAAGAAAATAAGGCATTACCTCATTCTTTGTTTCTTTTTTTGAATTCCCTAGTTTGATTAGGATTTATTCTACAATTCTTTGCTTTTTTTTGTACATTGAATTTGTTTCTGTTGGAGTAAATATACAATTGTTAAACTTCAGTGGGTTATTTCTGTACTTTTACACTGTCTAAAGCAGTAACAACAATTTATCGACGAAAATGAAGATAAAAATAACAAGAAAATGAATGATGATGATGATTGCAAAGATTCCGAATCGTTTTTTGGGTTTTTGAAAGACTATTTCTAAATTTGTGGAAGATTAGGCAAAAAAAAATCGATATTTGTTTTGCCTAAACAGCACCTATTAATAAGTTAGGCATTATAGTACTTACAAAGAAATCTTTAAAAAAATGAAAACCGAGGTCAACGCGAGAATTCTGACGAGAAAAAGGCAAGGCGAGGCAAAAAAAAAATGAGAAAAGAAAATAACCGTCATCAAATTTGTTGGCAAATCGAGAAAATAAATAAGCGATTTAAAGTTTATGGGAAATTTTAAAGATACTATACGTTTAACTACAGTATCTGACTACAGTATCCCGTCGCTAGGCGCTAGTCGTCGCTAGTCGCTCATTTAACAAGCTTTTGCAATACTGTAGCCAACTTACAGCCATCTTACTGTAACGTATAGTATCTTTAAATATAGGAAAATACCTGAATATCGAAATACCACGCTTTAGGCATAGAGAAAAAAAACGAGTAGTGTGAAAATGGACTTTGAAATGAAATTTAGCACAAAATCAAAAAAGGATTACGGTAGAAAAAGGGCAGAGTGCTTTTTCTAGGGTTACTGTAGAAGAGTTGGCTTTTTCTAGGGTTACTGTAGAAGAGTTGGCTTTTGGGAAAGCCGATGATTTCCTATTTTGTACTAAATTTCAGAAAAATCACTCTAAAATCTTGAAAAAAAAAGTCTAAAATCGAAAAAATTTCAACCTGGGATAGGTAGGATTTTTAATTTTTGCAAAGCCTCTAAGCAATGTTTTTTTTTTCAATCAAAACATGTGTACTTGGCACTAATTATGCGCAAAAATCTATGGAGCTGGGGGTTTTCTTTTGGCTAAAAATCTTTTTTTTTTTTCTTTTGCTTCAAGCATCACAAAGTTGACTGACTCGACTTTTCGAAAAATGATGGATAGATAAAGAAAATTTACGCTAACTACCTAAAAATGCGTCTTGGGAAGCCCTCAAATCGAGCAACAACCGAAGAGACGGCGACGCTCGTCTACCTAAAAGCTCATTTTTAAAAATGTTTTTAAATGACCGTACTTCGGACCTCTTTTGAATAGGATTACGGTAGAAGAGGTTACTGTAGCTTTTCTAGGCTTACTGTAGCTAGCTTTTCTTTCCTAGGGTTACTGTAGCTTTTCTAGGGTTACTGTAGCTAGCTTTTCTTTCCTAGGGTTACTGTAGACGAGGTAGCTTTTTCTAGGGTTACCGTAGAAGAGGTGGCTTTTCTAAGCTTACTGTAGCTAGCTTTTCTTTCATAGGTTTACTGTAGCACTGTAGGGTTACTGTAGCTTTTTCCTGAGCACACCTTTTAAAAAAAGTCCATTTTGATAAGTTCGCATCCCACTAAGCCCACTATAGCTACCGTATTCTGAGTCTCTTTTAAACACTTATCCAGGGTACTGTAGTTTTTATAGCTTAAAACAGCTAGCTTTTATAGCTTTTTATAGCTTTTTATAGCTTTCTTATTGTAAAGTCTAGTTTTATGAATAGGGCTGAAGCAGATACAGATACATAGAGATACAGTAATCTTTTGACTATCCGCGCTACCGTATCTCTCCGTTTATCGTCAGATTAGATACAGTAACTATAGGCATAGAAGATTAAAAACATTGAGTTTATTAAATACTTATTAAATATTTATTTAACATTTATTTAACATTTCTTTATAACATTTATAACAAACCTTCATCTCCTCATCATCTCCCAAAATGACAGTCTCAGCTCGAGACATTTCCCCGTCGTCCGTACAACGAATATCGACGACGAGATCGTTCAAGAGTTGCTCGATCGCTGAAATCCAGAGTTTAACAGTCAAAACTTCAGACATTCTAATCTTTTTTGACCCATTCTATTATCTAAACCAACCATTCTCTTGATACATCGATGCCTCATAAAAACGGGCTCCCATTTTGAGCGCTTTGGTCACTCCCTCTCCATACATAACTTGCCGTTTCGCGTCGAGATCCGATTTATTCCCGACTAATACAATGATCGGCTCTGCTTGGCCACAAATACGCGAGAGTTCTGAAATGGAATTGGAAATTCGACGTTTAGGAGTACGGGTAGAAAGGATTGTGAGAGACATTTGATATGCCCACCGCATTTCCATTGGCATAACTTTGAGCTCAAATTTCTTCGTGTTGGGCTATTCAATTGAAATATTTTTGGTATCATTAGATGCGCCAAGTCTTTCTCTATCGATTGGTACAAAAACCATTTAGATTCGACAGCCCAACACCAAGAAATTTGAGCTCAAAGTTAGACTGCCAAAAGGGGCGGGGCCAGAAAGACCTTTTATACGCGCCCCGCCCCTTTTCCCATTAGCACTTCCCAAGCTGGCTTCTGGTGGCTTTAGGGATTGTTTTAGATCAGCCCTACAACAACGTTATTGGAGATTTCTAAGAGTCTAAGACTGCCAAAAGGGGCGGGGCGCGTATCAAATGTTCGACCATAGAAAGTCCATATAATGGCTAGTGCTCGTTCCTAGTGCTAATCCTTTTCCTAAAAGACATCTATTTTCGCAAACTACCGTAATCCCGCCAGTTTCCATTTGAGCAGCCCAATTTTGCTATCATTCATTGAGCCTTGCAATGCGAATAATACAAAAATTTGTCTACGTGAAAACTGGCGTCGATTACAGTAGGCGTCTTTAGATATCTTTTCGTACTTTACCGTACTCTAATTCGTCTAAACTTAATTTGACCGCTTATTCCTTTAAAATTTACCCAAATACCATCGATCAATGTCTTCAAAAGAGGCTCGATTCGTGATGTCATAAACGAGAATTGCAGCGGCTGCGTTTCGCATGTACATTGGTACCTAAAAGTTCAATAATTAGTGAAAATTCTTGAAGATTACGATAGTTTTTGTCGAAAGTTAGAAAAACGATTTCTACTCACCATACTCCGGAAACGCTCTTGCCCAGCGGTGTCCCAGATTTGGAGTTGACTCTGCTCGCCTTTCACGTCCCTAAATGCTCATTGAAGATGGAATTCGATTAATTATTACTAATTTTTCGATTCTATTCGATTCTATCTATTGCCTTAGTTTCTACTTACATATCACACGTGACAAATGAGGCTCCAATTGTCGCATTAAACGGCACGTTGATCTCACCGAATTTGTGACGATAGATTAGTGAGGTTTTGCCGACTCCTGGAAAGAAGAAATTAGATTTTGGTATGATTAGACGAGTCTAATAAATCTAAATCTAATAAATCTAAGTCTAATAAATCTAAGTCCAATAAATCTAAGTCTAATAAATCCAAGTCTAATAAGCTTTAAAGTCAAACAAATAAAGTTGCAAGTTAAAGAAAATCTCTCACGATTTGCTTGAATGGAAAAATTTCGATTTAACCCGCGCTAAATCTCTTGCATAGTTGTCCAACGATTGCTTTTAGCTATGCAACTACGCAGGAAGCAATTGCGTGTTTTAGAATTTCAAAATCGTTGTATTGTAACCCTTATAAAGCTAATACTGTGCATAAGCACTGAACAAAAGATCCGGTAACTCTAAATGATCTTTTGAACTCTAAACTCGCTGTCTTTCAGTTTTCTTTCTATATAACTAATTTTTTCCATTACCCAATTACATTTTAATTGTTCATTGATCAAAAGATTAGTGGTTTTTTCTTGAAAGAATTGCTCAAAGGGTTATCGTTTTATAGAAATTCCCCTCAGCATTGTTTGTCTCATTGTTTATCTCAATTTTTTTCTCTCTAATTTCTTTATCAGTTTCTTTCACTTATTGCTTGATCAGCAAAAATTGCTTGAGAAATTTTGTTGATTTAGTTGGGATGCTGAAATTTACCGTAATTAAATGAAAAAAGAAAAATTCGGGTTTGAAAATCTTAGAATTTTGGATTTTTTGAGAAAAAAACTAGAGCTTTTCACTAATTTGCTAAAGAATTGATTGATTTTTGGTGCTAAATGGATAATCGAAATATGTTGTGGATTGGATATGGATTGGATATGGATTAGATATGGATTAGAACAATTTAAAGCCTAGGAACTGTTCTATTCTGTTCTATTCTGCTCAAGTTTATGTTTAGTTCAACCCCATTTAAAAAAACATTAGGAATAAAAGCTTGAACTCACCCGAACTCCCCAAGACGACCACTTTGTGCTTTTCACCTCGATAGGCTAACGCGGACACATCCTCTTCATGATCTCTGAAAAAATGAAACAATTTTCAAGAATCTAAGAATAAGTATTAGATGAATAGCTCAGTTCTGCAGTATTTGCAGACCTAATTACATTAAACCATTAAATTAAAATAAACGTTTGGCTGTTATATAATTAAACCTAATTATATAGCAGCCGAACGGTTTACTTTGTGCATTGCGCACTAAATTGTAAACATCTTCTTTGCGACGCATTAAATTCTTCATTTTTCTTTCGATATCAAATTATTGCTTAGAGGATAAAAGAGAAATTGACTAGAAAGGGTGTAAACATGTTAACAAATTCCTGATAAAGCTATTTTTGTCTTGGTTGCGGTTTTGAATGACAGCTTTCGATATTAGATCTGAAAATTTGTAACCACAGGCATTCTGGGATAGAGAATCTGAATCCGTTATTAGCTTTTGAGCAACTTTAATTTCCAAGTCGATACGTCAATATAATTACATCAAAACTCTCTAGAACTTTAACAAATCCACGACAAAGTCATTTTTGTAAACCAATTATTGCTTAAAAGCCAATAATTGCTTGTAAACCGTAATTAAATCTATTTAAAAACTTGACTAATTAAACTGGACGAAATATTCAAAAATAGAGTAGTTTTCTTTAAACAAATAACGGATTTGAATTCCTTGACTCCGAAAACCTCTGGTGCAAATTTTTAGCGCAATTGGCTTCAAAAAAAGTGCTAAATCCACGTACGGTCTATTGGTGGGCCAGAAAAATTGACTAGGAAGGGTGTAAACATGTTAACAAATTCCTGACAAAGCTATTTTTGTCATGGTTGCGGTTTTGAATGACAGCTATCTATGTTAGATTTGAAAATTTGTAACCACAGGCATCCTGGGATAGAGAATCTGAATCCGTTATTAGTTTTTGAGTAACTTTAATTTCCAAGTCAATACGACCATCACAAAAACTCTCTAAAACTTTAACACATTCACGACAAAGTCATTTTTGTAAACCAATCATTGCTTAGAATCCAATAATTGCTTGTAAGCCGTAATTAAATCTATTTAAAACCTTGGCTAATTAAACTTATTGGACTAATAAGACTAATTAAACTGGCCGAAATATTCAAAAATAGAGTAGTTTTCTTTAAAAACTAATAACGGATTTGAATTTCTTGACTCCGAAAATCTCTGGTGCAAATTTTTAGCGCAATCAGCCTCAAAAAAAGTGCTAAATCCATGTACGGCCTATTGCTGGGCTGTATCGTCACGAATTTGTTAAACACAAAGCACATCAACCATCAACCCACTCACCTCAACGCTTCTTTACACTTCGTGACAGCATATTGTTGTTGTGGAGATTGTTGAAGATGATGTGAGTGATCGAAATGACTGGCCATGGTGATCGGCGAAGAGATTGGAGAAGACGCTTTCATCAATCCGACAACCATCGATCCCCTGTGATTCGTGATGAACGATGACTCGGGTGGCATCAAATTTGAGCCTATAAAAACAAAGTTTTTTATATTCTAGAATTTAGAAAACAAGTAAAAACAAAGAAAATTTGATCACTGAATAAATATTATCGATTTGTAAGCTTTCAAATCTAAAAATGAATGCATAAAGTCAACTTTTCAAGAAGTAAGCATTTCTGGAAAAAGTTCGGAGTGATAATGGTTTGCCGATGCCGCAGATTTCGTTGAAAGTCAGAAAAAAAGCACTAGAGAAAATCTAGATAAATATTCAAATGGCTACATAAAAATACTCTAAATGACGTGAGTAAATGGTATTTGAGAAGAAAAAAATGGTGTTGAGGGGTGGGAATGGCCAATGGGATATTAGGGGAAAGAGAAAAAGGAGAAGAGAATGAATGAAGAGAAGGGGAGAGGTTAGAGAAGGAAACGAGTACAGGAAAGGGTGGGGAAATGGGGAATCTCCTTGTAGCTAGTTTATTTTAGAAACCTATTCATTTTCCTAGTCTAGGCCAGGCAAATCTAGCTCTAGTTCTAGGCCAGGCAAATCTTCAAAAACCTGGTGCCGGGTTTTGATGGGCTGAACTTTAAAAAATACTTTTATTTACTTTTATTTATTTATTTACGAATGATCTAAACAATAAAGAAAGCAGGCTTAAATGTAGTGAAGAAACAATATGGGAAAAAGAAGTAGGAATGAAATAAATGGACTTTGAATGTCAATGAGATTTTACATGAATCGATTCTAGGTCATCCCATGAACCCTTGCCCCATTGTGAGGCGCATATGGATGGGGATATGCCTTTTCACACCCCTTCCACCCCTCATAAACATCCCCTCAAGGGCTATCTAAAGGAAATTGAAAATTTTCTTGACTTAAATGACTATTGCTAACAAAAATTGCTAACAAAAATTGCTAGCGAATATTGCTAGCGAATATTGCTAACGAATATTGCTAAAGAATATTGCTAAAGAATATTGCTAAAGAATATTGCTAAAGAATATTGCAATATTGAACATTTTGAAATAGTTTTAAAAAACATCTCTAAAGTTATCGAGTGATTTCACAGCTTTACAGCAAAATTTTAGCTTTCAAATATTTGGAGTATTTGTAGAAAGATCTAATATTAGTTTAAAATAAAAATAGAGCTAACGGTTCCAATCCGGTTCCAATATGGTTCCTATTCTGATCCAATACAGTTCCTATTCTGATCCAATACGGTTCCAATACGGTTCCTATTCTGATCCAATACAGTTCCAATACGGTTCCAACAAGGTTCCTATTCTGATCCAATACGGTTCCAATACGATTCGCGTTCGCGTTTCACTAGCGTTCGCGTTTCACTAGCGTTCGCGTTTCACTAGCGTTCGCGTTTCACTAGCGTTCGCGTTTCACTAGCGTTCGCGTTTCACTAGCGTTCGCGTTTCACTAGCGTTCGCGTTTCACTAGCGTTCGCGTTTCACTAGCGTTCGCGTTTCACTAGCGTTCGCGTTTCACTCAGCGTTCGCGTTTCACTAGCGTTCGCGTTTCACTAGCGTTCGCGTTTCACTAGCGTTCGCGTTTCACTAGCGTTCGCGTTTCACTAGCGTTCGCGTTTCACTAGCGTTCGCGTTTCACTAGCGTTCGCGTTTCACTAGCGTTCGCGTTTCACTAGCGTTCGCGTTTCACTAGCGTTCGCGTTTCACTAGCGTTCGCGTTTCACTAGCGTTCGCGTTTCACTAGCGTTCGCGTTTCACTAGCGTTCGCGTTTCACTAGCGTTCGCGTTTCACTAGCGTTCGCGTTTCACTAGCGTTCGCGTTTCACTAGCGTTCGCGTTTCACTAGCGTTCGCGTTTCACTAGCGTTCGCGTTCACGTTTTTCACGCAATCTAAGCCCCGCCCCTTTTTTCCGTAATTACGGAGCATCACGTTTGCGCACAGACGGACAGACAAACGTCTCTTCTGCTTTATATATAGTAGTTCAAATAATCTCAGCTAAAATCTAGCTAAAATTTAGCTAAAATTGAAATGTTATGGTCAGTTCAAACATTTTTTTCTCAGCTCTGATAACGAGTGTCCATCAGAAAATTCGATTTTTTTGCTGAGGTCTTCAAAATTTCGTTTTGAACTGGCGGGAAATTAAAATGAATGTAAATATTAATAAATTAGATATTAATATCTTTTTAAAAACTAGGTGAGAGGGGGAATATTAAAGAAAGAAAGAAAGAAAGAAAGAAAGAAAGAAACAAACAAACAAACGAAGAGAAACAAATCATTTTCTCGAAGATAAATCAGAAAATTCGATCTAGGGAAAAAGAATCAAAGACAATCAATTGAATAAAAGAGAAAAGGATTCGATTCAAATCATTTTTACATTGATTCAAATCATTTACAGCAAAATTGATCGAAATCCAACATTTTACTTTAATAAATCAACGGGAAATGAGCCGGGGATGGGATTAATTCTTGAAGAAATTCCCTTCTTCACTTCAAAATGTTGAAGTGAAGAAAGAGAAGAGGTGTTCGGCCTTCGGACTTTGAAAAGTGGAGGCGTTTATCTGCGATAGGCACTGCCCAGCAAGCCCTACCATGCCCACCCAACCCCACCCAGCCCAGCCTCCCCCCTTTCCCTCCCTATCAGCCTGTTTACTTCCAAATTCTCTTATTTTTCAAAGCACATCAAAATCTCGTTCTAAAACTTGCTCAATCACTTGAATGCATCGAAAACATGGAAACTGTATCGTTTTGTTGACACTGTTTAGGCTTTAAATATTAGAGAAATTTTGAGAAAAATCATGTTGCAGCACAGTGTTTTGGTGGTGATGAAATCGAGGATTTGAGGGTTCTTTGGTGTTTGGGTGATGAGTAAAATGAGAATTAGCTTTTGGAAAGGCTTCCACCATAGTTTTGTGGTGGAATAGTATAGTTGCAGGGGTTGGAAATGTAAAAGCGAGAGTGACTTTTAGTTATTCAAATGGTTTTCTAAATGAAAAAGCTGAAAAAGGTTGTAGTTTAGAAAAAGTTCGTTGATTTTGATGGACTAGCAAGGAAAGGTTAACTAGTTGAGCCAGTCAAAGGCATCTAAAGTTTTGATCGATGCGATCATTTAGTTCTTAGCGGCCTCCTGGCGGACCTGACTTCTGGTGGAGCTGTGACCGAGTGGTACAGTCCAGAGCGAGACCTCGCATCTTCGATCCCCACTTCGGGTTTTTCTTGTGAGGAATCGAACTTGTTTTGTTCGGATTGAACTCTAAAGTTTTGCTAGGACTCTGAAAATGCGATCATTTAGTTCTTAGTGGCCTCCTTGCGGACCCGAGGACTTGGGTCCGCAAGGAGGACCCACCAAGTCGTGCCACCAGTCGTGCAGCTGTGGCCGAGTGGTACAGCCCTTGTTTCCAGAGCCAGACCTTCGATCCCCGGAATTGTCTTGTGAGGGATCAAGGTTCGATCGAGGGATCGAACTTTTGTGAGGCCTAGCTGGGGAAACGAATCCTGCACCATTCGGCTACAACTGCACCGAGTTTATCCCGCAAGGAGGCCAATAAATGATCGCTATTTTCATAGCACAAAACTTTAGACGCCTATAACTCTTGGTAGATTGTGATTTAGCAAAAATGGAATAAATATTTGGAATCAGCATAAAAATCTGCGTCGAATGGTATGCTTAACCAGTTGTTTTCCCTTGTAAGAACTAAGGATTTCAAAATCTGAACTATGAAGAGTCGAGTTTAGAAGTGAAAAGTGGGAAAGGGCTGGCTTAATGATTAAAAAAGGGGCATCAGCAACAAAAAATGGGCGTGCCACCTTACCGTAAGCCTTGTGTTCCTATGAGAAGTAATTGTATGCATGTTTGTAGTACGAACATGGATAAAACTAATAGCTATTTTGGATAACAAATAAAAAAGTTGATGAAGGATGAAGGAGTCTAGGTTAGTTTAAGATTCAATATCTTCAATTCTCTCTTTAATAGCTGATAGCGTCTCTTTAATAGCTAATAAACAAGCGTCAACTCTATCAAGCATATCAAGACTCTATCAAGCATAGAGAAACGCTTTAGATAATGCAAATGAAAGTTGAAAAGGGTTTTAAAGAAAAGTGTGTTCACAAAAGTGTTGATGGGAATTGAATGGGAGAGAATGGGAATTGAATGGGAGAGAATGGAGAGAATGGAGAGAATGGGGGAGTACCCCTCTAGCACCTCTAGCACCTCTAGCACCTCTAGCACCTCTAACCCACCCTAACACCCTATCCACCCAAGCCCTACCCCAAGGAAATACCATCAATCAACCTTTTCTCTTTAGAAAGAGAACCCAGACACATAGAGATACCGTATTTGAGTACATAGAAAGAGAGCCGGTCAACGATCAGCGCTATCTCTTTGTGTGCCCTTCTCTCTTGTTTTCCTCCTACACGTGTCCACGACAGAAACAGAAACAGAAACAGAAACAGAAACAGAAACATTTCTCTCGGAGAGACACCAAGGCACCTCCAAGCTCTTGATTATAACAAGGAAAAACAGTTTTACGGTACTATAGGGTTTAAAATGTTTTGTACTATAGGGTTTAAAATGTTTAAAAGTTTACTGTAGAGTTTTGGTTAAGATTCTTTATAATTTACAGTACTTACTAGTATCCTGTTAAGTTATTAACTACTTTTAACTTATCTTAGGCTCATTTATTTTTGTTTAAAACTTAAAAACTTCACCAGGATACTAGTAAATACTGTAAATTATAAAGCAATGATTTTAGAAATGATTTTAGAAATGCAATGCTTTTAGAAATGCTTCTAGAAATGCTTTTAGAAATGCTTTTAAAACTGCAATCTTTTAAAAATGCAAAAGTTTAATGAAAAAAAAGCTTTAAACTAGTTTAAACTAGTTAATAGCTTTAAACTGTTAATAACCTTAAACTATTTAATAACCTTAAACTAGTTAATAACCTTAAACTAGTTAATAGTAACGAGTCTAAACATCAAAGAATCTCTAGGAAAAAAAGGTAGGAAAAAAAGTCTCACAAAAATGACTTGTTATCGTTTGGTGATG